GAGAGAGAGAGAGAACGAGAGAGAGAGAGAGAGAGAGAGAGAACGAGAGAGAGAGAGAGAGAGAGAGATAATGTGTTCAAGTAAAACTTGAGTAAGGAGATACAAAGTGAGGCGGACAAAGGAAAGAGGTGGACGGATGAGGCGGAGGGGGATGAGCGAGAAAGTTGGACAAGGAGAGAGACGCCATACGAGAAAGAAAACCAATGAGATTATGAAAGATAACGAATAAATCGACGGAAATATGAGGCCTAAATTGACTTCGCGTCAAATAGGAGGATATGACGGTTCTAGATCTAGGAACAACAAAAAGTGAAAATATGCATACGACGTAGAGACGAAAGGCAGAAACGATGAAGAACAAACGAAATAGACGCTAGATATGCAGTAAGAGACAAATAATATGACCTAAAAAAGGCAAGGAAAAAAGGTGAAGTCTTTACAAGGGGCCTCTACCCTTAGCTTAAACAAGCCGCATCTCTTCCAAACAGTTAAGACACCTGATTAAGAGATGTTAGTCGATGAAGAACCGAAAAACGGATGTAGGCTTATGGAAAACCTGAAGCTAAAATCTTTGCAGCAAGTTCACAACCAAAGCCTTAAACGACTTTCATCCTTTAGAAGCTACCAACACGAGCTAAACTAACATGTCTTAAGCTAACATTAGTCTAGCTCATAATCGTCTAACTTAATCTACTTGATATGTTAAGGTAGTTCTCACCTTAGTAGGAACTTGAACTGGTAGATAGAGCTAAACTTGAGGGAAGCTCAACTAGCGAGGAGAAGAAAAAGGGACTAGCAAACCCTAGGTGTCAGATTCATCGCAAAGATAAATGACCTAAAATGAACTCTGCATTGAACTAGCAGTGTTAGCACAGTTGGTTGGAAATCCGCAGACACCATATTTCGAAACCTGACAAGATCAAGCACACTTGTCATACTACAGTATTCTGTACAGTATATTGGGTACTTACAATTGCGTAAAACGCTTCGCAACCCTAAGTCGATTTCGTCGCCTCTTGTTGTGTGTTGTTGTTGTTGTTGTTGTTGTTGTTGTTGTTGTTGTTGTTGTTGTTGTTGTTGTTGTTGTTGTTGTTGTTGTTGTTGTTGTTGTTGTTGTTGTTGTTGTTGTTGTTGTTGTTGTTGTTGTTGTTGTTGTTTTGTTTTGTTTTGTTTTTTTTTTTTGCGAAAACGGGGCACAAAGGCAAAAAATATTTATAAACAGTTGGTCGCTACATGGATGTGGTGTCGAAAATGTCAAGAACCTGAACGAGAGAATGAATGCATTGAGGGTGCATTCCTGAGTTGGTGGCAGGGCAACTGTTCACATCGAGTTGGTGGCAAGCGCATTTTCCGGCCCACTGAATTTTCGGCTACACTTGCCACCAACTCGATGTGAACAGTTGCCCTGCCACCAACCAGGAATGCACCCTGAATAGAAAGTTGGTACAAGTACTAACCCTAATTGGGCTGTACCCGTTATGGGCTACCCCACTACAGCCTACAGAATATAAGCAGTATAACAATATGACACACCCCCATAAGCAAAGTGGGGGAGAACAAGGGGTCACAAGACCAGTCAAGAAAATCAAAGCAAGCCCAGGGTGGATCACAACGTCACCACACGTTCCGAGCACAAGCAAATGGCCACAAGGCCAGTTCACATGCAGAGTTATATAAAAGAGAGCAAACAGTACAGTGATCACTACCTAGCAAGTGTAAGCATGCAGGTATATATATAGAGATCACAGTACAAGCAAAGTCACGCCATGAGTAAGTGAGACGAAGCAGGCACAAGGCCTAAAGTAGTGTTGAAGCGCTGATGATCACCAGGCAGAAGTGCCTTGGTGAATATATCAGCAGTGTTGGCCCGAGTGGTCACGTAAGCAAGACGAAGCTGACCACGCTGCTGCAACTCTCGAGCAAGGAAGTAACGCAGAGCGATGTGCTTCGTTCTGTGCTCCAGTCTGTGCTCCTGACACAAGGCAATCGCGAACTTGTTGTCTACGTACAGAACTGGAGGAGAACGAGGCCACTCTCCCAGGTCGGTCAGCAGGTAGGTGAGCCAGCGTAACTCCTGTGCAGCCATGGCTCCCGCGTAGATCTCAGCCTCACAACTGGAGCTGAGAAAATAAGACGAGCGGGTAGCCCGCCAAGAAACAGAGCCGGAACCAAGGCTGAACGTGTAACCCTGTGACGACCGCTGCGTAGTCAGGTCGTCAACCCAAGAAGCGTCTGAGTGTCCAGTGAGGACAACGTCACCCCGTCCTCCAAGCACAAGCCCCATGCCCGATGTACTGCACAAGTAGCACAACACCCTCTTAGCGGCCTTCCAGTGCTCTGGCTGGTGTCTACGCAAGGTCAGGTCGAGTGCAGGTCATCAGGTACATGAGGCAGCCCACAAGCTCTGGATACGGGCCACTCGGCTCTACGGACTCGTCCGAAGGTGGAGCTGAGAGCGAGTGACCGGTAGGCAGAGGAGTGGACTGTGGCGAGGAGAACCGGAAGCCGAAGCGCTGAAGGACCTGGTGCACCATGTGTGACTGAGTCAGGGTGATGGTGTGCCACGCTCTGTCCAGGGTCATCTGCAAGCCAAGATAGCTGCGCAGCTCACCCAGGTCAGTGCAGGTGTATCTCTTCTGCAGCTCCGAATTCACAAGAGCCAGTCCCTCCGTGGCAGCAGTGGCAAAGACCAAGTCATCGACGTACACGAGGATGTAGAACGGCGGCAGCGAAGTGTCAGTGCGCAGAAACAGCGACGGGTCAGCAGTGGAAGGAGCAAACCCAAGAGCCGCAAGTGTCGTCCTCAATGTGTCGTGCCACTCACGAGGCGCCTGGCGGAGACCGTAGACTAGCCGCCGGAGGCTCCACTGGGTACCCTCAGGAAACGACCTAGTGAAGCCAGGAGGACGGCGCAGCCAGATCTCCTCGTGCAGGCTGCCCTGTAAGAAAGCAGTGCTGAAGTCAAGAGAGTGAAGCTCGTAGTCACGCTAGGTGGCAATGTGCAGCAACACTCGAAGAGTGCTCATCTTCGAGGTAGGGGAGAAGGTCTGGAAGAAGTCAACTCCCTGTCGCTGACTCAAGGTTCGTGCAACATAACGAGCCTTGAAGACAGGCGGAGAACCTGACGGCCGCTTCACCCTGAAAATCAACATGCAGTCGACAATGTTCGCCCAAGAAGGGGGATCTGCGTCAACGTAAGTGCCTGTGGACTTCCAGGATGCCATCTCTGCGTCCATGGCTGTCTACCACTGAGAGGAGTAGGGACCCGTAATCGCCTCTGTGTAAGAGCGCGGGGTCGGGATGTCCAGTGCATCCGGGTCTCCCTCAGGTGCAAGCAGCATGGCCACGAGATGAGGTACAGTGGCTGCAAGACACTCAAAGTCCTCCTGCCTGTCCTCAAGGACGTCCGTGCCAAGAGCACACTCACCCCCGACGGACGGAGGACAAACAGACTCAGACTCAGCAACAAGACTAGCGGCGTAGTCTAGACGACACGCAGCAGCAAAGTCAACAAGCTCAGCAACTAAGGCAGACGCAGCAGTGGACTCAAAAGAAGGGTCAGTGACAACAGTGGCGAGGAGACGTGTGACAGTAGGGCTAGCAGCACGAACCCAGTCAGACTCAGGGTCCGGAACGTCAGGAAGAGAGGACGCCGGAGGAGACGGCAGAGCAACATGCTGCGGAACAGAGGAAGGACGAAGTGCCATAGTGTGTGTGCCGAGGACTGGTGGAGGACGAGGACAGGGAACACGACGAGCACGGCAAACAGTGCAAACTGGTAAGGCCAGACGAGACACAGGCTCACGACGCTCTGTAAGGGAGACTGGCTGCTCAGTGTAACGAGGGGGGGCAGGCAGCGGTGAGTCTGGAGGAAGGGCAGTGGACGAAGGAAGACTAAGAACCTGACGGAGCACCGAGGCAGGTGGTAGCAGTGGTAGCTGCGGCGGCGGCAAGAAAAACGGTCGCTGCTGCACAGTGCCTCCAGCACCAGTACCGCCAGCTCCAGTGCCTCCAATGTCAGCACCTCCAGCTCAGGGTCGCTAGGACTAGCGCCGCCAGCTCCAGCGTATACAGCTCCAGCGCCTCCAGCACCAGCCGCTCCACTAGCTCCAGTAACCCCAGCACCAGTACCTCCAGGACCAGCAACTCCAGTACCTCCAGTACCTGCAGTAACTCCAACTCTCGTACCTCTAGCTCCAGTACCTCCAGTACCAGCAGCTCCAGGACCTCCAGCTCCAGTACCTCCAGCGCCTCCAGCTCCAACGCCTCCAGCTCCAGCGCCTCCAGCTCCAGTGTCCACAGCGTCAGTGCCTCTAGCTCCAACGCCTCCAGCTCCAGCGCCTCCAGCGGCAGGCAGTGCCTCTAGCTCCAGCAGTGCCACTCCGAAGGCGGGTGCGCCGAGCAAACCACTCGCGCAGCTGCTGTGGTGAGAGAGGCTCCCGCCGGCTAGACCGCTGCGGCGAGGCACCCGTAGGACCTCCAGCAGAAGCAACACCCCTTGGCTCAGCACCCCCAGACTCAGCACCCCCAGGCTCCGCACCCGCAGGCTCAGCACCCCCAGGCTCCGCACCCTCAGGCTCAGCACCCCCAGGCTCCGTACCCCCAGGCTCAGCACCCTCAGGCTCAGCACCCCCAGGCTCCGCACGCTCAGGCTCAGCACCCCCAGGCTCCGCACCCGCAGGCTCAGCACCCCCAGACGCAGCACCCCGAGCAGCACCACCCCCAGCAGCACCAGAGTCGCCAGTGACCTCGACAGGCTCAGCCAAGGGAAGTGGGGTCAACCTGAGACACACATGAATGAGCAGGACCCTGAGGGGGGAGGGGGTCTACCGGAGGGGGACCTGGAGCGAGGAAGAGCGGCGGGGGGGGGAGAGGGGCAGTGCGGTAGGGGAGAATACGGTCGAAGGGAACCGACTCATCAAACGTGACGTCCTGAGAGGAGAGAATACGGCGCGTGGTGGGGTGGTAAAACTGCCAGCCAGGCGCGTCAGGGGGGAAGCCAAGGAAGACACAGGGAATGGCGCGGGAGGAGAGCTTGTCCGCGGAGGTATCGCGGGTAAAGGCACGAGCGCCCCAGACCTGGAACACCGACGCATCGCCAACCTCCCCCGTCCAACGCAGTGTAGGCGAGGTCTCCGGCAAGGAGACACGGGGCCAGAGGTTGAGCTGATGCGCAGCGTACCGCAAACGGCCACAGAAAATGGGGAGCAGCCGCATGGATCATGGAGGTACGAGCCACCTCCATGACTAAGCCAATGCGGCGCTCAGCAATCCCATTCTGCTGCGGGGAGGCCGGAAGCGTGAACGACTGGAGGATGCCCTCCCCACGACAAAAGTCCCGCAAGAGGTCGGAGGAGAACTCACCACCTCTGTCAGAGTGCATACGCATGATAGGAAGGTCCGTACGGAACTGCTCGCGGAGCTGGAGACGGACAGCGCGGATCCAAGGGATCAAGACATCAGGGACCTCCCCCTTGCTGCGCAAGGGGAAGACCGTGGTGTAACGCGTGTAGTCGTCAACAACCAGCAGAAAGTATCGCTCGCAGCCCTGTCCACTGAAGCGGGCTGGGCCCCATACGTCCATGTGGAGAGTCTGCAGGGGAGCAGTCGTCGGGGGAAACGAGGAGGAGTGAGGAGCGGCGCGCTGCCACCCCTCGACGCAAGGAAGGCAGGGCGGGGCAGGCGAGGGTGGGAGGGGAGGCAGAGACCTGGGAAGACCAGAGACAAGGAGGCAGGAGTGCATGCCACGGAGGCGTGGCAGGGAGGGGTGACCAAGGCGGTGGTGCCAAAGGAGAGTCTGGTGCGAGAGGAGGCGACACGAACAGGGGCGGCTACCTGACTAGACGCAGACACCTGACCGGAAGCAGCTACCTGTGGAGACTCAGTAGTCAGTGTGTACAGACTCGACCCAGGCCGACGGGTGAACGTGGCCAGGTGACGGCCCGTCCGTGCACACGTGCAGATCGCCACACGCTGACTCCCAATAGTGGTGGTAGTGACCATGGCATCCTGGAGGGCAGCAGTACTCACCAAGTTCGTAGAGAACGAGGGGAGGTGAAGACCTGACAGTGAGCCAGACGGAACCGCCGGGCACGGGAAAAAAGTGGTGGAACGTGCAAGAACTGGGCCCCCTGAGGGGTCAGCCAGTCTGACAGCAACAGGTGCAGGGAGTGGTGTGAGTGTGGTACTGTCGCGAAAGAAACAGCGGGAAGCACCTGAGTCAAGCGTGAAGGTGTGCAAGGCCTCAGCAGGCGCAGTACCAGAGAGAGTAGACTCACTAGCACCTAGAGCAGCAGCCTCTATACCTGGGTCAGGCGGCACACACAGGTAACAGTCACCCTCAGCACTAACAGTCAAAGCATACATGGCAGCAAGGATAGCGTCATAGTCAAGAGCAAAGATATCAACACCAGACCTAAGCAGCTTTAGCCAATGGGGAAGCTCTGCCTCGTCGCCAAACTCTGCGGGCCACGCGTCATCAAGGCGGGAGAAGCAGCGGTGCTGCGTGTGATAATTCCCGCATGTCTGACCAGCGCGGTCACCTGTGCGAATGACGTACGGGCAGCGAACACTACCCTTAGACGCCCCACACTGAGAAAACCACTCACGAAGCTGCTAGGGCGTAGGGGTCTCACGCGGACGCTGCTGCTGCTGCCTCTGGCCATTGCCAGAACCTCCCCTCTGAACGGCTCCACCCCGACCTCCACCACTGCCGCTGCCACCACTCCCACTGCCGCCACCACCAACGCCCCCAGTCCCGCCACCACTCCCACCGCCACCACCGCCACCTCCACCGCCTCCCCCGCCGCCACCTCCACCACTCTTGCCTTCTGTGCCCTTGCCGCTGCGGCGCCTCCCACTAGGAGCAGACGCAGCCCCGACCTCCTCAGCACCAAGGAAGTCAACAGCAGCAGCAGAAGCGTAGGAGGGGGCAAGGGGGGAGGGGGAACACCCCTCAAAGAAGGGAGTGCGAGGAGTGCCACGAGCAGCACCTACAGCGACGACTGTGCTAGTCTCAGCTGCAAAAAGGTGCTTCTCGAGCAGGTCGACAGTGAGGTCTGTGGGGTCAAGGGCGAGAAAGTGGTCCCTGACTGCGCGAAGAGAGTCAGGGAGGCGGGTGACTATGAAGTAGAGAGTGATGTACATCGGGGGCGGGTTCTTGTCTAGGAACTCGGCTTAAAGCGCAGCGCGGTAGCGAGTGTCGCTAGTGCGAAGGTGGGTGATGAGGTCGTCGACTGTGGAAAAGGCTGACAGCTCGGGAAAAAGGTAGGGCAGCATAAGGCGGCCGAGAGCAGCAGTGGCAGGGGAGGAGTAACGAGCGACTACAGCGTCGAACAGGGCTTTAGCAGCCTTGTGCTGGCCAAAGTGAGCGCGTTCGGCTAACGGCAGGTGGTTGCGAACGGCTAGGCGAGCGAGTAGCACCATCACGGGTAAGCCACTGTGAGCGAGTCGCACTGTCAGCTGTGCCGGAAGGAGCGAGAGAGGCTCCAGACATGTGGTCAAACAATGAGACGCCGTCTTTAGAATCGCTCAGTAGGTACAGCTGTAAGTCGTCGAGCCATGTTTCATACTGGATCGGACGGCCCTCAGGATCGAAGGTGAGAACGCTGAGGGTAGCCATAGCTAGCAGAGCAGGGTGGCACGTAACGTGGAGGGCAGCACACAGGCAAAAGGACGACGCGACGGACAGGGCGGCACGCGTGCACTAGGGAGGCGCGCAGGGCAGGGCAGGGCGGCGCACGGTCAGGGAAGGGCGGCGCGTAGGGCAGGGCAGGGCAGCGCGGCAGCCTGCAGGGAGGCGCGCGGGCAGGAAAGGGCGGCGCGCGGCTAGCAGAGCAGCGCACGGGCAGGAAAGGGCGGCGCGCGGCTAGCAGGGCAGCGCGCGGGCAGCAAAAGGGCGGCGCGGCAGGCTGCAGGGCGGCGCGCGGGCAGGAAAGGGCAGCGCGCGGCCAGCAGGGCGGCGCGCGGGCAGGAAAGGGCGGCGCACGGGCAGGAAAGGGCGTGCGCGGGGGGACGCGGCGCAGGGCAGGGCGTGCGCGGTCGGCTCGACGCAGGGCAGGTCGTGCGCGGGCAGCGCGACGCAGGGCAGGGCGTGCGCGGGGCGGCGCGACGCAGGGCAGGGCGTGCGCGGGGCAGCGCGACGCAGGGCAGGGCGTGCGCGGGGCGGCGCAACGCAGGGCAGGGCAGGGCGTGCGCGGGGCGGCGCGACGCAGGGCAGGGCGTGCGCGGGGCGGCGCAACGCAGGGCAGGGCAGGGCGTGCACGACTGGTGGGGTACTATTCGGTGGGTTCTAGGAACGAAACGTTCCTAGAACAGGACCTACTCTTAAACCATGTCAAGAATCTGAACGAGAGAATGAATGCATTGAACAGAAAGTTGGTACTAGTACTAACCCTAATTGGGTTGAACCGTTATGGGCTACCCCACTACAGCCTACAGAATAAACACATTATAACAGTTTGACAGAAAAGGCCAAAAGAGTGATGCCAGGAAGCAAAATGGCATGAGCGGCGCGCATCGTGCATTTTGGCCATAAACGTGTGGCACAATGCTCAAGTGAATCACGGGCACCTTGCTTACCTTTCAGTCATATTCCAGAGCTCCGAATATGCACGCATTGTACGTCAGCAGGCGATTTATACAACTAAACAACAACGGTTCGAGAAAGCAACTAGAGCGGTTGAATAAGAACTCCTAGTCATTCACGCAATCAATCACCAGGTTTAACACATTACTACGGTACTAATAAGAATTAGTGCTATCAAATAATAAATAAAACTAGCAATAATACTATCAAATGGCAGTCATAAAACCACCAACCTCTTACTTGACGAGCTGATAGGACAGCAAGCATGGCTGAACAACAGAACCTGGGAAGCAAACTTGTCATACAATCATCTTTCGACACAACGATGACAGGCTCAGGAGCAAAATGGCTATAATAAGTGTCAGAGAATCCATGAATGAACGGCAAACTTTCCTTACATTTAGCGTGTGACCTGCACACAGCCAGGCAGCAGTCTCACCCCCACACTGGTCACCTGAGGGCATCCAGTCATCCTGAGCTGCCTCAACCCCACCATGCGCGCTACATGGACCATACCCGCATCCGTCACCCCCACACACCCACTAATATCCAAATACCGCAGCCCCGGGATCTCCGCCACATGTGCCAGCACAGCATCCGTCACGCCACGTGCATCACACAGCTCCAGCCGCTCCAGCTGGGTCAGCTTGCTGACATGGCGCAGCCCAGCAGGCGTGAGCCCAGCGCAGCAGCGCAGATCAAGGGCCTTGAGGGACAGCAGGCATGCAGCATGCTCCAGAGCCTCCCCTGTGATGTTCTTACACCCGGGGGAGAGCCCCAGCTGAAGGAGAGTGCGGAGATGGTGGGGAGGAGGTGTGGGCGGAAGCGGCGGAGGGCCTGCAGGAGCAGGGCAGCGTCGGCGTCGGCGATGTCGGGGTGGTGGGAGAAACGCAGCGTGCTGCGCTGCACTATCCCCAGGCCGTACCGGTCCAGGGCTGCTCTGGCTGCCACCACTCGCTCTGCTTCAGCCTGCCAAGGGGAGGGGGTCAGTGGGGAGGGAGTCGGTGGGGGTAAATGCATAAGCAGTGGGGCAGTGTGCTGCGCTGCACTATATCCAAGCCATACCGATCGAGGGCTGCTCTTGCCGCCACCAGTCCTTCTGCTTCAGCCTGCCAAGGGGGCATAGGGGAAGGGGGGGAGGGCGAGAGGGGCATGTGCAAAAGACCAAGGCGTGTGGAGGTGGTGGTGACGTGGCTGTGCTGCTACCTCTCGCTCCGACCCACCACGTGCTGCTGTTCCCTGCCCTCCTCTCCCTCACCATACATGCCCTTCACTTATCTGCCCACTGGCACCCATAGCCCATGTGCAGCACTCCACCGCACCCCACCGCAGCAAGCACCCCTGGACCCCATCATCCTCACCTCCATGAGTTGCTGCACGGTCACATGCTGCTGCTTCCTCCCTTCCTCTGCAGCCGCCAACACCTCCTCCCACCGCGCACGCCACTGCCCCTCCATCGCACTCACCCTCTCCCCATCCGCCCGCCCCTTCCCCTCCACCTCCCTCCCCACCCTCTCCACCTCCCTCCCAGCCATCTCCTTCCATGCTGCCAACCCCCTCCCCCACTCCCTCCCCCCTCTCCCCCTTCTCCCCCACCACTCCCAGCCCCACCCTCCCCCTCCTCTTGCCCTTCCCCCACCCCCTTTTCCAGCCTCTCTATAAGCTTCTTCAATTGCTCTGCAACACCCCGTCGCTCCTCCTCCTCTCGTTTCTGCAGTGCCACCACCCGCCCCGCCCACTGCTCCTGCACCTCTCTCAACCGCTCTGCCTCCCTCCGGTGCCGCCCGGCCACCGTCTCCCCCCACTTGCTATGCGCCGCCACCCCCCACAGCCGCTCCCACTGCTGCAGCTGCTCCCCCTCCGCACGTCGCTCGTCTTCTAGCCGCTTGCGGGCGGCGTCGAGGCGGGCGGCAATGTTGTCCTGGAGGTGGCGCAGTTTGTCTGCGTGCGTCTGGGCGGTGTCGTCGAGGCGCTGGCGCAGTGAGGAGAGCTGTGCGCGCACGTGGGCGGAAAAGAGCTGCAGCACCACCTGGGGGAGGGGGGGGGGGGAACAGGGTGGGAGGGGTAATGGGGAAGGGATGGATAAGGAATAGGAACGTTGGCAAGTGGTGAATGGAAGAGGGTCGAGAAGAGCAGTAGTTAGCGCAGGGACAGGGACAGAGGGGAGGGGAAGGGGAAGAATGGGGGAGAGGGAGGGGCAGGAACGATAGGGAGGGTGTGGGTGAATGGCAAGTGGAAGTGGGAATGCACATCAGTTGTGAGGCGGCGGTAGGACAAGAAGGAGAAATGACACAAGGGGGAAGCAGGAAACAACGGCCTTGCACCTCCCCCATTCGCGCCCCCTCCCTCCCCCCCTCCCCCGAAGCTCTTCAGCCCACTCTTCCCCAGCTCTTCCCCAGCCCTTGCCCCCTTCCGTGCTGGACCTTGCCCCCAACTCTTCCGCGCACCTCGTCCAGCAGCTCGAGTTTCTTCGCGTCCTCACCCAGCGCCGCCTGCGTCTGCCGCTGCAGCTCCCCCGCCCACTCCGCCCACTCCGCCTTCACCGCGCCCAGCGCTTCCTCGTCCCGCCGCCGCTGCGCGCGCGCCTCCGCCTGCATCTCCGCCACCTCCGCCTTCGTCTGCTCCACGCGCTTCCCCCACGCCACCTCCATCATCTCGAACTGCGCGTGGATCCGCGCAACCGCCTCGCGCTGCGCCTTGCGCTCCGCGTCGATGCGCTTTTCCGCCTCCCCCAAGCGCTGCTCTACTGCCTCCGTCTTCGCCGCGCAGTCCTTCAAGATCTTCGCCGCGCGCTTCAGGTTCCGCTTGCGCTCCTCCTCCGCCTGCCGCGCGGCTTCCTCCACTTGCGCGGCGATCTCTGCGGCACGCGCGGATGCGGCTTCCGCCTGCTCCTTGCGCGCTTCCGCCTCGCGCTGCAGAGCCTTCTCGAGCTCCACTTCTGCCGCCCGCCGGCTCTCCTCTACCTTCTTCCCGACTGTTTCCTCCACCACTTTGCACCGTTTTACGCCCCTCCGCCTCTCCTCCTCCACGTGTTTCCGCACTTCCGCCAATTTCCCCTCCCACTCGCGCTCCATCTCCGCCAGTCTCCCCGCGTCCGCAAGCCGTCCCGCGTCCGCCTGCGCCTGCATCTCCGCCAGCCGCCCCGCCCACGCCTCCTGCGCCGCGTGCAGCCGCCCCTCCGCCTGCTTGAGCTCCGCGGATACGCGGAAGCGCATGTCCTCCACGCGCCCCACCCACCCCGCCTGCTCCGCCTTGAGCTCCGCCACCTGGCGCTGCATCTCTTCCGCCATCGCCTGCAGCATCCCCGCCTCCTTCGCGCCCCACCGCTCCTCCACCGCTGCGACCTTCATCACCGCAAGCTCCTGCGCCGCGCGGATGCCTTCCGCCAGCTCCGCCTGCGCGCTCTGCCAGCGACGCTCCAGCGCCTGCAGGCGTTCCGCGGAAATAGCGCGTTCCGCCTGCATGAGCGCCTGCAGCTTGTGAACCTCCGCGCCCCACTGCTCCTCCAGCTGCTCCTTCACGCGCGCAATCTCCCTCCGCCGCTCCTCTTCCGCCTGCTTGCGCAAGTCATCCTCCCGCGCGCCCCACAGCATCCACTTCTGCCATCCCGCCTGCCCCTGCGCGGGAGCTTTTCCTCCGCCTTGCGCCTGCGCGTGGGCCTGCGGGTGCTCCGCCCCCCCTGCTGCGCGCTCCTTCCACTCCGCCTCCATCTCCGCCAGCCGCACCGTAACCTGCGTTGCCACGTCAGCAGCCATCCGCTCTTCCATGCGCGCAGCAATTTTTTCCTCGATTCGGGCAGCTAAACGTTCTTCCAGCTGCCCGGCCAGCTTGGCTTCGAGCTCCGCGGTCAGGTGCTCCAAGCTGGCGGCGACTCGCCGCTCAATGGCGGCGGCGGCTTCCGCTTCGATCGCCGCCACGTGCGCCTTCACTGCAGCTTCCACCTGAGCATTCACCTGCGCCTCGGCAGCTGCCGCCTGCTGAACAACCTGCCAACATATGGGCGGCGGCGCAGAGTTCTTATATTAGCCCACGAGTTGCTCAGATCATTTCGGTGCAAAATCTCTTTGATTCGGGGCCAGCTGCTTACCTCATGCTTATCCACGTCAGGAAGAGGCGCTGGACCGTCGGATGCAGAGTCGCCATCGGAGGAGGCGGACGAGGAGTGATGGGAGCCGTTGGATGAGGCGTCCGAGTCCATCAGCGCCAGCACGTCCGCCAGCAGCCGCAGCTCCTCCACCGACCCCTCGCTTGCGCTTCCCTCTTCCGCCTCCTCCTCCGCCCCCTCAATGGTTGCGCTTCCCTTTTCCGCCTCCGCCGCCCCCGCCACCTCCGCCTCGGCAGCCCGCGACTCCTCCACCGACCCCTCGTTCGCTGCGCTCCCCTCCTCCGACGCCTCCTCCGCCTCCTCTGCCTCGTGCGCCTTCTCCGCGCCCCCCGCCCCTCGCGCCTCTTGTGCAGCCGCCTTTCTTTCCGCCGCAGCCTCTCCGCTCTCTGCGCCCCCGCTCGGCGCGCCATTCCCGGCGCCCGCGCTCACAGCCCCATCGCCAACAGTCACCTCTAGCTCAACGGTCGCCTCCTCGCGCTGCAAGCCTTCGCCCGCTTTCTCATCTGCCACATCCCCACGCCCATCGCTCTCTTGCTCTTCGGTCTTGTTCACCTCTTCGCTCGTTTTTATCTCTTCGCTCTTCTCCACCTCATCTTCCGTGATCGCCTCATCTCCCTCTGCCTTCTCGACATCCTCGCTATAAGCTACCTCGATTCCCGCATCACCCGCTACTGAAAATCTCTTCTGATCCTCATGCTGCACATCCCCCACACCCTCCGCACTCTCGCCGTCGCTGCTCCCAATCACACCATTACCGTCCTCTATGCAAGTAACCCCTCCCTCGCTCTCTGTACGCTCCACCACCTCCGCTTTCCGCTCTTCAACCGGGCTCACCGCCTTGTCCGCCGCAACTGGCGCCGCTTCAGGTGCTGCACCACTCTCGTCCACCCCTTCCGCGTCCGTCCCCTTTTCTGACGCGCCGCCGTCGTGCTCCACTTCTTCAGCAGCTTCCGCTGCAACCCCCGCAGCAGCTTCGCTCCCAGCCTCTCCGCCCAACGAGCTCCCCGCGTCTGCACCCGAAGCACTACTACCCGCGTACTCCCCTGTCTCGACAGCCACTCCCTCCCCGGGAGGCACGGGTTTGCCCTCCGGCGTCTGTGCCTCCTTGCATGCAGAGCCGTCAGCAAGCGCGGGCTCAAGCTCGCCTTCGCTCTCGTTCTCGTGCTCGTTCCTGTTGTCACCAGCCGCGGCGGTTTCCCCTCCAGGTGCTGCACTTACCGCGGCGTCCCCAGTCGCAGTCACCTCATCCGCCTCGCCGATCATTCCTTCGCCTGTGCCTGCGACTGTATTTGGAGCTGAGTCGATATGGTCCGCATTGCCATCCGCGTCGGTCGCTTCGTCCGTGATCGCAGCCACGTCTATTGGGTCCACGCCGCTTCCTGTTGCATCGACAGCTGCCGCCTTGGCTCCTTCGATTGCACACGCATCGGCGTCGCCTGCGATTGCTACTTCCGCGCTTGCCGCGCCATCCCCGCACGCGCTGTCCGCCATTGGCGCCGCGTCGATCTCGTCGACGGCTGAAGTGCGCCCGCCCTGGAAAACAGATTCGCACAGATTCGTCGCATCCTCAGCTGGTGCGTCGCCAGCATTCGTCGCACCCGCAGCTGATGCATCGCACGGTGTCGTAGCATCCTCGGCTGCTGCACCCTCCTCGTTATCAACCTTGTTCGAGTCGCTTACGTCCTCCACGTCCAAACTCACGTCGCACGCTTCCTCAGCAGCCGCAACGCCTTCTTCCTGCGCCCGCGCGCTGCTTCCCTGGTCCGCCTTGCTGCCAGCAGCTTCCTCGGTTCCACCCAAGTTCTCTCCAGGGCAGGGAACGCTGCTCGTATCTCCACCTTCTTCGCGGTCTTTGCTTTTGGGCGACGGGTCTGTCACATTGGGATTGATGGAAGCCTCCGAAGCTTCGACCGCGTCTCGGCTCGCATCGTGGCCCTCGTCTTGGCTCTCTTCCACGTCGCCCATCCAGTCGCTTGGTTCGCCGGCAGCTCGCGCATCTGCCGTTGAATCTTCCTCCACTATTGCTGTTTCGGAGGCCGCCGCATCGTCGTCGGAAGGGATTTTTTCGCCTCCGTACCCACCTTTCTCCACGTTATTAACATCATTCACGCCTTCAAATATCGTGTTTTCCGTCTCGAGGACTTCGCTCGCACTCTGGGAACTTGCAGCTGAATCGACGGCTTTCAGTGATTCTTCTTGCGCTACCAACGAGATGTTCCCAGAAAACATTTCTCCGTCGCCGGGGTCCTCGAGCTCGACCTTTTCCCTATTTTCACTCATTTCCGCCGATGAGAAGCTCGCTCTGGTTGAGGGGATGTCAGGTCGTTAGTTAAATGGAGGAGCCAAACAAGATGCTCGAGGGCTCAGAGTATGGTCAAATGCAACATTGCCAGCCTGCGGCTTGGGTCGGAGCGGGATGTAATGGGCTGAAAGAAATTCAAGCATGACGATGATGTGAAATAATCGCGCGACGCGACGATTCTCGAATTTTGCTCAATCCTGTCGACTACCCTCGCACCGTGTTACCCGATTTTTGGTAATTCTAAATCCCATGGACCCTGCGCTTTCGCAATATTGACATAGGCACTCTCGACAAAGTTTGTGGTCGGATTTGTTGGACGACACATTCTTTAGCCATGCATGGATTTCCCTCAATTCGCAATAACCGTTAGACTATTTGTTTGTTTAAGGGCTAAAGGGTTATGTAAGGCGTTATTTTAATTAAAGATGCTATATTGGACTTTTTGTTATTTAATATATTACTTGACACTCATAAGAGATTAAATTACAAAGAGATTACTCAGTGTTTTCGCTATATGTTTTTTTTCAAAATTACATTGCTTGGATTAAAACGCAAAACTTCTTTGAACATGCCCGTGTATTTGTGGGCTGAAAATAATTTTTTTTGCTATATTTGAAAGCCCTATATTGTTGTCTATTCTGATGCAAGAGTCCAGTTGTCTCATTACGGTTGGTCCTAATATACACAGTAAATGTCTCTACGATTTTGTTTTTTCATCATCCCAGCCCTGAAGTATCTAAGCGTCACGTCAGCATGGCCACCGTGTATCGTAAATGTAACAGCACAAAATGACATCTCGTACTATGGGGTTGCAAATATTGCATCTGGGTAGCGTCAGATTTGTTCTCACCCAAAAGCAGGAAATCAAAGGGATCCGAAACTCTTGAACAACATTTACGCAGAGTGACCTGACCGTAATTGCGGGTGTAAAGCAAGTTGCGCTCCATGGGATTGAGAAATATAAAAAGCGAAAAGCGCGGCGCGAGTTTGGTTAACAGGATAAAACAAATTTGAGATTCGTCGCGTTGTGCAATTATTTCCGATGATGTGGATGATGAATTCTGGATGGTCTTTTTTCCCACTCGGGCAGCCATACCAGAATCTGTACATTTGGTTACAAACCCGAGCTGCTTAGCGATTTCGGTAATGTTCTTCGTATATTTTCATAGAAGAAGTAGCTCCTCACTTACATTTCTAAGGATGTACAAAGTGGAAATGCCTCTTTCTTTGGCATCACACTTTGCACCCAGAAGTTTCATTGTCCTGGCAGAAGTTCCATTCCACCGTGAAACAAAACCCGCAGCGCACAGGCGAGTCGCCTTGAGTGATTCACATCGCTGTGCAATTATCGAACGAATCGTCACCTGAAAACCAATCACACTGCTTTTTGCAATGGCGGGGGGACCCGAACCCAATCACACTGCTTTTTCACTGCTTTTTGCTTTTTTTTTTTTTTTACTTTGGCCCATATTTTCGGGCGGAGAAACGTGTATCTGTATTTTAACCTGAGTGAAGAGGCAAAGTGTAACGTCAATGTTATTAAGTTTCTCAGTATCAAGGATAATGTTGCATACTTGGGCGCAAGGCCACTTGTCATCGAAATTCACGCAGACACGTGTGTTTGTGGGGCTAGGCGCTCCAGCTGTGAGCCAGTTAGTGGGAGAACTGCGGAGAAAGCATTGAGAGAGCGAGGGTAGCGGTGAGTTGATCTTCCCCGCCGCCTTGCCGCCATGAGGCTCGCGACGCTCGCCACGTGCGCGCTGAACCAATGGGCGATGGATTTCGAGGGTAACACAAATCGCATCATCGCGTCCATTCGCGAGGCGAAAGCGCGAGGCGCGTCGTACCGGATCGGGCCGGAGTTAGAAATCACGGGCTACGGCTGCGAGGATCACTTTCTCGAGCACGACACGTGCCAGCACGCGTACGCCACGCTTCCCCCTCCCCCTCGCTTGCACTCACCTGCCACGTGGCGTCCGCTATCAACCTCCCTTCCTCTATCGAGCCGTGCCGCTTTGGCCGAATCGCTCAGCTTCGTCACTTCAGCTGAGACTGTCTAACCCCATCGTCGCCAGCGGCGCCACCACCGTCCTCTTCGGAACGCGTTTATCCCCGAATCCTTCCTCCCCTTCCCCTCCCGCCCCGCTAACTCCCCCCACGCATCTCACGCCCGATCCCATGACGTGGGATTTCACCGCTTTCGCCGCCAGAAGTGCTATAGCCGCCCCTCACTATCACAGCGCTTTCGTAGCGTTACACCTGGGATTCATCTGCTGCGCTACTTACCCCACTCCCTCACTCTTCCATCACTCTCTCTCCACTCCCTCACTCCTCCCCCCTACTTCCTCACTCTCCCCTCTCTCTTTCTGCAGTCCGGCGATCAGCAATCAACACCAGCGGCGCTACAGCCGAATCTACAGCCAGGATAATGCGTATGCCAGTGGAGGGTATCCCTCCCGTCACCTCCCTTCACTCCCCGTCCCCCTTTTGCCCCACATCCCCCCCAGCTGGGATTGCCTTGCAGCCATCATTGCAAGCGGCGCTACAGCCGGCATCCTCTGGACATCGGGCTGCCAGTGGAGCACATTAATATCTTCCCCTTCCTATCGCCCTCCCCCTCCCCTCACTCTCACCTCCCTCCCCTTCCCCAGCCCAACCCCCCTCTTGTGCCCGCCCTTCCCAGCTGGGAATGCCTTGCAGCTATTATTGAGAGCGGCGCTACAGCCGGTATTCTGTGCGACACCGGGCTGCCAGTGGAGCACCGCGGGGTGCGCTACAACCGAAATTCTCTGCCCCCGCCCTCCCCTGTGCCGCCAGCTGGGAGTGCGTGCCTAGCCGCCATCATTGCTAGTGGCGCTACAGCCGGCATCCCGTGCGACATCGGGCTGCCAGTGGAGCACACCCCCTCCCCCCCTCCCCTTTCATTCCCGCCTCAACCCCCTCTTTTCCCTCCCCACCTTCCAGCTGGGAATGCCTTGCAGCTATTATTGAGAGCGGTGCTACAGCCGGCATCCTGTGTGACATCGGGCTGCCAGTGGAGCACCGCGGGGTGCGCTACAACTGCCGGGCGCTCGTCCACAGCCGTCGGATCCTGCTGCTGCGCCCCAAGATGGATCTGGCGAACGACGGAAACTACCGGGAAACGCGCTGGTTCGCCACGTGGAAGCGGTTGGGAGTGGTGGAGAGCGTGCGGTTACCAGCGGTGGTTACCGCGGCGTGCGAGGGGCAGCGGGAGGTGCCCATTGGGGATGGCGTGCTGGATCTGCTGGATAGGTGGGTGGTATTTGGGCGGGTGATATCTGGATGGTTGATATTTGGATGGGTGATGACTGTATTGGTGATAATATCTGGATGGGTAGGTGATATCTTGATGGATGGTAATATCTGGATAGGTGGGTGGTATCTTGATGGATGATAATACCTGTATAGGTGGGTGGTATCTGGACGGATGATCATATCTGGATGAATGGCGTGCGTGTGTGCAAGTATTGACCACTGGGGTTAATCAATGGCATGCAATTGTTGGGTTTGTCAACTGATCTGGTATGGTAGGTAGAAGCTAGGGACTAAGAGGAGCAGAGCTCCGCACATCCGAGCGGCACTAGCAGGAGCAGAGGTGGCGGGCTTCTACTGAACGCACTTACTATGTTTCCTGTCGTCTATGATACTCAACCTCTTCTTGCCTCACTCACAGTTCCCTGGCGGCGAACAAACGTTTTGTTTGCCTCCTCGTGTATGTTGCTTGCCCCCGTCCTGTCCTCCCTCCCTCCAGCACTTTGGCGAGTGAGACGTGTGAGGAGCTCTTCACCCCCCTTGCGCCGCACATACGAACAGCACCAGCGGGAGCAGAGGTGGTGGGCAACGGCAGGGAACGAACTCACTTTGTTGGCTCCTCTCCTCGTGTTTTCTATCTGCTCCCATCTTGTCTCCCCATTCCTCCCTCCTTCCAGCACCCTGACGAGCGAGACAAGCGAGGAGCTGTTCACCCCTCTAGCACTGCACATCCGAGCGGCACTGGCAGGAGCAGAGGTGGTGGGCAACGGCAGCGAACGCACTCACCTCGTCAGCTCCTCGCCCCGTGCTTGCTGTCTGCCCCCATCTTGCCTCCCCATTCTTCCCTCACCCCAGCACCCTGGCGAGTGAGACGTGTGAGGAGCTGTTCACCCCTCTGGCGCCGCACATCCGAGCAGCACTGGCGGGGGCAGAGGTGGTGGGCAACGGCAGCGGCAGCCACCACGAGCTGCGCAAGCTGGGGACTCGGGTGGGGCTCGTGCAATCGGCCACAAGCAAAGCAGGCGGGGTGTATCTATACGCCAACCAGAAGGGGTGCGATGGTGGAAGACTGTACTATGGTGAGTTTAATCAAAGGTGGTTGGGTTGGGCTGTCGCCACTGGCAGCGGCAGCCACCACTGGCTCTCGCGCCGCGCACATCCAAGTGGCACTAGCAGGAGCAGAGGTGGTGGGCAACGGCAGTGGCAGCCACCAGGAGCTGTGCAAGATGGGCATTGCACGAGAAAGGCTCGTGCTCTATGCTGTGTCTGCAGCAGGGTGTTTGGTTCTGCAGCGACATTACACATATTTCCCTTTTGCACCTCCCCCATTCCCTTGTCTTTCCATCCCCTCCCCACTCTCCCCCCCCCTTCCTCTCACCAGACGGGTGTGCCATGGTGGTGGTGAACGGGCAGGTGGTGGCGCAGGGATCGCAGTTCTCATTGGCTGACGTCGAGGTGGTAACCGCTACTGTGGACCTCGACCAGGTGCGTTGACTTGCGTTGACTTGCGTTGACTTGGTTACCGGGCATCACTGGAGTTGACTCTGTATTGCGGTGTGTTACCTGCGTATTCCTGCGCGGCTGTGATCCAGAGGTATGGCCAAGATGCCATAAATAGCGTCGGCTTATTGAGCGCGACTCAACGTGGCTCCTGTCAGGAGCAGGCGCAAGCAGGTGAGCCGTGCCGGGGTAGCTAGGGGGGTAGGCATCCTTGGTAGGGGGAGGGGACCAGGTGTGGAGGGGAAGGCGCGTGGCTTCCAACAGCGGGCAGCAGCGGGCAAGGAGGAAGATGTGATGGAGGGCGTAGTGGTTAAGGAGGGGGATGAGGAAGGAGAAGGATGAGGAAGGAGAGGAGGAGGAGGATGTGGTGGAGGGCGTAGTGATGGGGGTCCTTCGCCTTCGCCCTCCACCACACCCGCCTACTCCTCTCCTGCCCCTTCTCCTTCATCATCCCCCTCCTTAACCACTACGCCCTCCATCACATCCTCCTCATCACCTGCCCCTTCTCCTTCCTCCTCTCCTGCCTTCGCCTTCCTCATTCCCCCCCCACATGATCCACGTTGAAGTCGCTGCTCAATAAGCCGGCGTTAGTTATGTGTGGATCACCATGTATTCTTGCATGTTTCCGTGCACCACCCCATGACTGCATGCCGGCATGCACTCGTCTCCCCATGCCCATCTTACCGTGTGCGTGCACAGGGTCCTGAAAGAGGCTGCCAGCATTCATGCACCGGTGGCACCCTCTTTCAGGGCCCCTCTCAGCCACCACTCTCCGCAGTGCTGCACGCGCTCTTCTCCTCACGTGCCTTTCTTTCCCAAACCATTTCCCTCCTCCCTCACTCCTCTCACTCCTCTCACTCCTCTCACTCCTCTCACTCCTCTCACTCCTCTCACTCCTCTCACTCCTCTCACTCCTCTCGTTCCTCTCATCCCTCACTTGCCCCCCTCCCCCCATGCACCCTTCCAGGTGGCGAGCTACAGGGGCGCCATCAGCAGCCTGAGGGAGCAAGCCTCAGCCTCCGCCCCAGCACCATCCGCCTCTTTCCCACCGTCTTCATCCTCCGCCTCTCCCGCCCCACCCATCGTGCGCATTCCCTCTGATATCTCCATCTGCCACCCTGCATCGGCTAGCCTTACCCTCGCCACCTCGCATCCCATTCAGGTAGTCCTCCTTTTGCCATTCTTCCACTCTCCTTCCACCCTCTTCCACTCTCCTTCCACCCTCTTCCCAATCTCCTCCCACTCTTCAATCATCTGTTTTGCCACTGCCTTGCATCATATCACCTCCTGTTCTCTTCTAGTTTTGAGACGCCTCAAAACTGCCTTGCATCATATCAGCTCCTCTACTCTTCTCGCCCATCTTCAACGTTCATCCACTTGTGCATGTAACTCGTTTGTCACTTGTCTCGGCTCTCCACCTGCCCTTCGTACCTCTCTTCCATGCGCACATTCTCTCAAACGGTCCATCATTGACATTCTCTCGTTCTCTCTCTTGCCCCACTGCTCCCTCTCCCGTGCGTCACCAGATCCACTATCACTGCCCCGTGGAGGAGATAGCGCTCAGCTTGGCGTGCTGGCTCTGGCGTGTGGCGAAATGGGGAGACCCTCTTCAGATTGCCTCTCCTCCTTTGTATTCTCTCATGCTCCCCTTCTCATTCCCATCACACACCACCAGATCCGCTACCACTGCCCAGAGGAGGAGATAGCTCCAGCGTGCTGGCTGTGGGACTATCTGCGGCGCAGCGGGGCCTCAGGCTTCCTTCACAGACGTTCGCCTCCTTCTCATGCTCCCCTGCTCGCTCCTCTCCCACTCTCGTGCGGCCTCCCTTACACACCACCAGATCCGCTACCACTGCCCTGAGGAGGAGATAGCGGGCGCAGCGGAGCATCGGGCTGCTGGCTGTGGGACTACCTCAGGCGCAGCGGAGCATCGGGCTTCAGAGTGCCTCTCCTCATTCACCTCGGCTGTGAGCTCCCCTTTCCTTTCTTATCATGCCCTGGGACTCAGATCCGTTACCACTGCCCCGAGGAGGAGATAGCACTCGGCCCGGCGTGCTGGCTGTGGGACTACCTGAGGCGCAGCGGAGCATCGGGCTTTCTGCTGCCGCTGTCGGGGGGTGCGGACAGCTCATCTGTGGCTGCTATTGTGGGCTGCATGTGCCAGCTTGTGGCTAAAGGTGTGGAGCGGTTCTATCGGGTGCTGTGTGGTGTAATGCGGTGCAAGGTGATGCTCTGAGGTGCTATGGCGTGCTGGCTGTGGGACTACCTGAGGCGCAGCGGGGCGTCGGGCTTCCTGCTGCCGCTGTCGGGCGGCGCTGACAGCTCATCTGTGGCTGCTATTGTGGGGTGCATGTGCCAGCTGGTTGCTAAAGGTGTGATGCGGTGTTATGCGGTGCTTTGGGGTGTCCTTTGTACTGATGGCTCTTGGGCAGCGCTGGCAGCTCCTCTGTGGCTGCCATCGTTGGTTGCATGTGCCAGCTGGTCGCCAAAGGTGTGGTGCGGTGGTATGTGATGCTGTGGGGTGCTACAGGGTATTATGGTGCCTTGCTGCTGGCAGCCCATCCATAGCTGCCATTCATATTCACGCCCGTCCCTTCTCTCTCCCCTATGTTACCTTCTCTTCTCACAGCAATTGCCGAGGGCAACGAGCAGGTGCGGCAGGACGCAGAGCGAATCACGGGGCTACACCTGGCGGCAGGGGCGGCGGCAGAGGAGCAGAAGCGGCATGCTGCCAGGCTGGCAGACCGTATCCTGCACACCATCTACATGGGCTCTGAGAACAGGTTTGTTGCTCCCTCCCTCCCTCCCTACCTACCTACCTACCTACCTACCTACCTCCCTGCCTCCCTGCCTGCCTGCCTGCCTGCCTGCCTGCCTGCCTGCCTGCCTGCCTGCCTGCCTGCCTGCCTGCCTGCCTGCCTGCCTGCCTGCCTGCCTGCCTGCCTGCCTGCCTGCCTGCCTGCCTGCCTGCCTGCCTGCCTGCCTGCCTGCCTGCCTGCCTACCTACCTACCCCTGTGTTCCCTTGAATACCATTTGCATGTTCACCGACTAAAGGCTAGTGCCCAAGCCACACCCATCATATTCCCATTAGTGCATTGTCTAAATTAGATACTCCCCGTTTCCCGCCCCTCTGTTCCCCATCCTTTCACCTCCCACCTATCTCACTTCAATGCCATCACCTATGCACACAGCTCCCAAGGTACAAGGGCACGAGCAAAGCAGCTAGCCTCAGAGATAGGAGCGTGGCACTTGGACACGAGCATTGACTCCGTGGTCGCTGCTGTTGTGACTTTTCCCCTCCCCTCCCTCTCACTTTCCCCCACCTATGCACACAGCTCCCAGGCCACGCGAACGCGTGCGAAGCAGCTAGCATGGGAGATAGGAGCATGGCACTTAGACACGAGCATTGACTTCCGCGGTCGCTGCAGTTGTGATATCTGTATCCCTCTTCTCCCCCTCGGCCCGACCCCCCGCATACACAGCTCCAGTGCAACAAGGGCACGAGCGAAGCAGCTAGCATGGGAGATAGGAGCGTGGCACTTGGACACGAGCATTGACTCCGTGGTCGCTGCTGTTGTCGCACTATTCCTCACTGTCACCGGCCTGCGTCCGCGCTACAAGGTTGGGTGGCTTATTTGCACCCACTCACCTTCCTTGCTGCACCCACTCACCTTCCTTGCTGCACCCACTCACCTTCCTTGCTGCACCCACTCACCTTCCTTGCTGCACCCACTCACCTTCCGTCCTGCACCCACTCACCTCCTCATATTGCAGCATAAACGCTTGTTATTCAAGGAGGATATGCTTTTATGGCAAAGGAATTCAATGATGCCAGTCTAGCTAGGCAGCCCGGCTCCTTGCACCACCACTGAGCGTTGAGCGACTCCAGCCCTCCCCACATAGCAAAAATCCTCGTTCTGCTAACATTCAAGCCCCGTCGTGGTCTCTACAGTCCCATTCGTTCCCTCCCGCTTCTCCCCAACCCCCTTCAATCAGCTGGATGGAGGCACATCAGCGGAGAACCTCGCCTTACAGAACATCCAGGCGCGCCTGCGCATGGTGCTGGCTTTCCTCTTCGCCCAGCTGCTGCCCTGGGTGCGCGGACATGGGGGGAGGGGGGGAGGAGCCGCAGGGCAGGCGGGGGAGAAGGGGAAGGAGGAGGGGCGGAAGGAGAGCACTGCTGACGGACAGCAAAAGGGAGGGGGAGGGGGAGGGGGAGGGGGAGGGGGAGAAGAGAAGGTGCCGGCGGAAGGGGTGTTGGAGAAGGGCAAGGGGAGGGGAGGCGGGTCGGAGCAGCGGCGGGGCGGAGGGGGCTTTCTGCTCGTGCTGGGCAGCGCCAACGTGGATGAGGCATTAAGAGGGTACCTCACCAAGGTGAGATGATAGGGGGCATTCACTAACGCGTGCATATAGAGGGAGCATGCATGGCATATAGAGGGAGCATGCATGGCATGGCATATCACAGTCACCATCCCTGATCTACCAATCCAACTGGTCGTGCTGGGCAGTCCCGATGGGGACGAGGCTATGAGATGGGATCTCACTAAGGTGCGTATGCATATGTGCCACGGCCGCCCATTTATCCTATATTATCTATTCGCTCACCAGGGTACCGTTAGAGGTTTACATAGCTTGTCGCCACATGACTGGCTTGCCGCTCGGCACATGACTGACTTCCCGCTCGGCACTGCCAACGCGGAGGATGCCCTGAGGAGACCTCCGTCTCAGATTAGGCTAGGATATTTTTTCTTTTGAGACGTCTCAAAAGTCGTCTCAGATTAAGCTTGGATATTTTTTTTTTACCCTGTCTTCCACGGTGGAATCACCACGCTGCTACTGACTCGCGGCACTTGCTGGAAGGCACGAGCCACCAACCCCCCCTCCCGCCAATGTCTCCTCACTCCCTTCCCACCCCACCAGTACGACTGCAGCAGTTCCAACATCAACCCCACCGGCGGAATCAGCAAGACGAAATCACAGTTCCTCACTTGCTGCACTGGACACCACTCCTCCTCGCCTTCACCTCAACACTCCCACTCCCATCCCTTCATCCCATCCCTCCTCCCCCCACCCCTCCTCCCACAAGTACGACTGTAGCAGCGCCGACATCAGTCCCATTTGCAGCATCAGCAAGACAGAACACTGCCCCTCGCTCACTGTGTTACGGCAGTCCACCTTGACTTCGCCTCAACTCAACAACACTCCCAGTGTCCCATCCATTCATTCCTATCCTATCCCCATCCATTCATTCCTATCCTATCCCCATCCATTCATTCCTATCCTATCCCCATCCATTCATTCCTATCCTATCCCCATCCATTCATTCCTATCCTATCCCCATCCATTCATTCCTATCCTATCCCCATCCATTCATTCCTATCCTATCCCCATCCATTCATTCCTATCCTATCCCCATCCATTCATTCCTATCCTATCCCCATCCATTCATTCCTATCCTATCCCCATCCATTCATTCCTATCCTATCCCCATCCATTCATTCCTATCCTATCCCCATCCATTCATTCCTATCCTATCCCCATCCATTCATTCCTATCCTATCCCCATCCATTCATTCCTATCCTATCCCCATCCATTCATTCCTATCCTATCCCCATCCATTCATTCCTATCCTATCCCCATCCATTCATTCCTATCCTATCCCCATCCATTCATTCCTATCCTATCCCCATCCATTCATTCCTATCCTATCCCCATCCATTCATTCCTATCCTATCCCCATCCATTCATTCCTATCCTATCCCCATCCATTCATTCCTATCCTATCCCCATCCATTCATTCCTATCCTATCCCCATCCATTCATTCCTATCCTATCCCCATCCATTCATTCCTATCCTATCCCCATCCATTCATTCCTATCCTATCCCCATCCATTCATTCCTATCCTATCCCCATCCATTCATTCCTATCCTATCCCCATCCATTCATTCCTATCCTATCCCCATCCATTCATTCCTATCCTATCCCCATCCATTCATTCCTATCCTATCCCCATCCATTCATTCCTATCCTATCCCCATCCATTCATTCCTATCCTATCCCCATCCATTCATTCCTATCCTATCCCCATCCATTCATTCCTATCCTATCCCCATCCATTCATTCCTATCCTATCCCCATCCATTCATTCCTATCCTATCCCCATCCTCACCACCATCGCCTCCCCCGCCTCCCCCCCTCTCTCTCCCTGCACCCTCATACAGTACGACTGCAGCAGTGCCGACATCAACCTCATCGGCGCACCAGGAAAGACATTTCTCTGCTTTTTTCCAGGCTTCATCCAAATCCCTTTTTGCCTCCCATTCAATTACGAGCATTCCCCTCCTTCCTCCCTCACCAGTGCAACTGCACCAGTGCCGACATCAACCCCTTCAGCGGCATCAGCAAGACAGACCTCCGCCGCTTCCTGTGCTCATTGCCTCCCCTCCTTCCACCCCGCCTTCTCCCACCGCCATCCCCACCCACGCCCTTCTGTGACCCTCTACCACCACGATCTCCCCACCAGTACGACTGCAGCAGTGCCGACATCAACCCCATCGGCGGAATCAGCAAGACAGACCTCCGGCGTTTCCTGCGCTGGGCGGCAGTCCACCTTGGCTTCGCCTCATTGGCCGACGTCGAGGCGGCGCCGCCCACTGCTGAGCTGGAGCCTATCAGAGCGGACTATGTGCAGGTGGGCCAATCAGAGCGGACTACGTGCAGGTGGCATGGCATCCCATCCCATCCCATCCCATCCCATCCCATCCCATCCCATCCCATCCCATCCCATCCCATCCCATCCCATCCCATCCCATCCCATCCCATCCCATGCCATCCCATCCCATCCCACCCAACCCAACCCATCCCATCCCATCCCACCCAACCCAACCCATCCCATCCCATCCCACCCAACCCAACCCATCCCATCCCATCCTATCCCATCCCATCCCATCCCATGACCCCATCCCATCCCATGCCATCCCGTTCAATTCAGTACCATCCAATGCCATCCAATGCCATCCAATGCCATCCCATGCCATTCCATGCCATCCCATGCCATCCCTTGCCATCCCTTTCCATCCCCTGTCATCCTGTGCAATGCGATGCTGCCACGCCGGCCCATCCCATCCCACTCCATGCAACACCACACCACATGCACAGGTGGACGAGGTGGACATGGGCATGACCTACGAGGAGCTCTCTCTCTCCACCCCATGTCATGTCATCCCATCCCCTGCCACACCACACCACACCACACCACACTGCACACAGGTGGACGAGGTGGACATGGGCATGACCTACGAGGAGCTCTCTCTCTACGGCCGCCTGCGCAAGGTCATGCGCTGCGGGCCTGTTGCCATGTTCCAGGTGCGTTCAGGATGGTAGTGGGCATGTATGTGTGTCATGCGTGATACATGCATTGCTTGCCATGGATGGCACATGCACTGCGTGCCATGCCATGCGCTGTGGCCCTGTTACCATTCTCCATGTCCCCATCAATAGACATGACTCCTCCTGCAACCCAGCACCATGGGGTCATCCAATGTGGACATGCCGTGTGAGATAAGTCGATTTTTGAGTCGACTCAAAAAAAATCAACCCAGCACCATGTGGATATCCGATGTGTACAACCTGACTCATAGTTGAAGGGCTGCAGTAGTTGTAAAGACGACTTTTCAGGCACCTCAAAAACCCAGTACCACGTGGACATACGATAAGCCACTTCTCTTCTCCCCCACCCCCCTCGCAGCACCTGTGCCACGAGTGGCGGCAGCGGCTGACAGTGGCGGAGGTGGCAATAAAGGTGAAGGCGTTTTTCCGCTTCTACTCCGTCAACCGCCACAAGATGACCACTCTGACGCCCTCCTACCACGCTGAGGTAACCACGCTCACCCCCTCACTCGCTCACCCCCTCACTCGCTCACCCCCTCCTACCATGCTGAGGTAACCACGCTCGCCCCCTCCTACCACGCTGAGGTAAGCCCTCACTCACACCCTCCTACCACATAGAAGTAGTCGCTCACTCGCTCACTTTCTCACCCCCTCCCAACACACTGAAGTAACCACCCTCACTCACCCCCTCCTACCATGCCAAGGTAATCGCTTGCTACCACCTCGCTCCTCCCCACTCCCTCCTACCACCCCCACTCCTGCCTACCATTATCTCTCCTTCCTAAAAAAAAAAAATAACAAAAAAAAAAGAGTGCTTTTGTCGGTCGAGGCAACCCTCGGGCGTCCCCGTTCCACTCGCATTCCCCTCCCTGCAACTCCTGTCATCCCCCTTCTACCCCCCACTCCCATTCCAGGACTCCCGGGGGACAGCGGCTTACACCTGTGCAACATAGGATGGTGACATCAGCATCATGCCTTGCTTCTTACCCTCTGCCTCGCCACCCCCCCAAACCTTCATCTGCCCTTGCTTCTTCCCCCCTCCTTCCTCCCAGAACTAAACCCCCGAGGACAACCGCTATGACCTGCGGCAGTTCCTGTGGTAGCACCACCCCCATCTCCTCTTGCGCCTTCCCATCCCCTTCCCCTTCACTGTCCCCCCCTCCCAGAACTACTCCCCCGAGGACAACCGCTTTGACCTGCGGCAATTCCTGTACAACGTGGCATGGCCGTGGCAGTTCAAGCGGATAGACCAACTTGTGGCGGAGCATGAGGCTGCAGCAGCGGAAACAGCCACAGCAGGTGGTGCTGCTGCTACTGCAGTTGAGGGCACAACAGCAGCGTGAGGCTGCAGCAGCGACAGGAGGAGGTGTGAGCGGTAGGGCTACAGGGAAGGGGAGGAAATGAAGGGGACTGCTGATGGTGATGGTGGACAGAAGCTGAAGGGCCAAATTGTAGGGTAGTATACCGTAGCATGCACAGGAATGCTCTAGGAGCTTTTTTTCCACATCTCTCCCTGTATTACGGTACTTGTAGCACGTAGAGCCAAGAGCGTTCATCTGCCTGTGCATTTGGCACGGTGGCACGGTGGTGGCTCATATAGGGTTGTGAGAAGAGTAATGGTACGGTACCGTATCTGTGAAGTCCATTGCCGTTGAATATCGAGACACACCCTTGAAATAGCGTACGGTAATGTATACACCCTCAAGGCATTGTACGGGGACAGCGTAGAAATCTCGTATGGTACAGTGTGAGTGCTCCATGTTCTGTTTCCACATGAAAGTGTGCTCTGAGACATCTCTTGACAGTTTGTGATAAACAGTTTCGCCAGATTTGATTGATATGGTACTGGGTTGGCAGGCTGGATGGAAGTTGACAGGCTGGCTGGAAGTTCTGGCACGGGGAAATCCAAGTGTTCATGCCCTGGGTTTAGGGTTGGGTTTACCTTTCAGCCAAATGTATGTATGTACATACGCAGGACTGGGGAGACAAACAAGACCGTCGCATGTACATCTTACTGTCAAATGTGCATCTCAACGCCGCCACACTGCCATCTCGACTGCATCACTTTCAACCTCCGAGCTACCAAGACGAAACCCCAATGGAAACCCGTTCACTCCGTGATCTCCGCTGCTGCGCCTCCCCCATCCCCATCACCACCAGTGCCACAACCTTGACCCCTCATTACAGTCAAGTCAAGCTCTCCGAACCGAATCCTGGGTGGCAAGGGGCTCACTGATACCACCGAGTGTGCTGAAATTTTCAGCTGACTCCCAACGATTTACCCCGGAAAAACATCACTCCCTTACATCCGCTGCTGCACCTCCATCAACCCCATCACCCACAGTGTCATCCCCTTGACTGCCGGCTACAGTCAGGCTCGCCACGTCCCGAGTACCAAGAGCGGCACTGATGGCATCCACAGAGTGCGCTGATCTTTCACTCTGTCATCTTCCAGTCTTCTCAACCAACTCCCAAAATGTTTTCCTTGAGAAGAACGTCACTCCATGATATCTGTTGCTTCATCTCCCCCATCACCATCGCCCCCTGTGTCGTCGCCGTGACTGCCCCCTACAGTCAAGCTCGCAGCATCCCGCGTGGCAACGGCAGTGTTAATGGCGTCTAGAGTGCGCTGGTTGTTGCTGTGAATGGCCTCATCCACTGGCGTGCGCTCGTGGCTGGGGGAATGGGGATTGAAATCACAGTTTGGGGGTCAAGGGTTGGAATCGGAGGGTTAGGGGTTGAAGGAACGTTGGAAAAGCACGGAATACAGAAGGGCAGGAGGGAAAAGGCATCATTGATGGCGTCTAAGGTGAGCTGATTGTTGCTGTGAATGGCCTCGTCCACTGGCGTGCGCTCGTGGCTGGGGGGATGGGGATGGAAATCACAGTTTGGGGGTCAAGGGTTGGAATCTGAGGGTTAGGGGTTGAAGGAACGTTGGAAAAGCACGGAATACAGAAGGGCAGGAGGGAAAAGGCATCATTGATGGCGTCTAAGGTGAGCTGATTGTTGCTGTGAATGGCCTCGTCCACTGACGTGCGCTCGTGGCTGGAAATAAGAAACTCGGGTTGTGGGAGAGGTGATAACACAAAGTTGAGGAGGGAAGTTGCAAGTGGCCGCGGGAATAGCGTCTAGGGTGAGCTGGTTGTTGCTGTGTCGCATCGCTCGCTCGGGTGTGGTTGTGTGCTCGGTCGTGGCTGGATGGATGGGAATGGAGTTTTAGGGGAGGCAGGTTGAGGGAAGAGAAAGGAAGAAGGGGGAATTAAGGGGAGAAAAAAAAAAAAAAAAAAAAAAAAAAAAAAAAAAGGCAGGTGAGAGGGCTGTCATGTTCTGCGCATGCTCAACACAAGACGACTGCATGGTGACTTTTGAGTCGGCTCGAGGTGACCTTTGAGTAAACTCAAAAGCCATTTCGAAATGGACAACGGCAGGCAGGTGGGAGGGCTGCCATGTTCTGCGCAACAAGACGACTGCATGGTTACAGCGACTGGGGATGGGTAGCAGAAAGCAGCACTGGATGTAGCTAGCAGCCATCGGAGTGAGCAGCAGGCAGGGGAGGTGTGAGGAGCGTGAGGGGAGGAAGGCGGTTACCTGTTGAGGGCGGAGGGGTTGGCTCCAGCAGCAATGAGCAGATGCACCATCTGATGGGTCAGTGAGGAAGGAGTGGGGTGGAGTGGGGTGGGATGGGGCGGAGTGGGGTGGGTGGGCCTGATGAAGGACGAGGGATATCTGGTGGGTGTCAAATCACCACCTGTAACAGGAACCCTAAGCCTGCAACCCGACAGAGCGGAATGCAATGCTGATGATGCAAGGCCCGTGAAAAAACAAGGTACTGGTTCACTGCCGCTGGGGTGCAGAACACAAGATATTTCTCTGGCTGCAGCCCCACCTGTCCCCTGCGCCCCCCTGAACTCACGAAGCCCCTGCCATTCTTCCCTGCACTCATCCCCACAACCACATCGCCCGCCCTGCACTGCACTCACGGAGTCCCTGCCATTCACAGCTGCCCAGTGCAGAGGCGTGTTGCCCTGCCGGTTGACAGCATTCACGGGCTGAGAGACAGGGGCGGAGGGACGGTGTAAGGGATACAGGATGGGAAGGCAGGGGTGGAGGGCGTAAAGGGTGCAGAGAGAGAGGCGAGGCAGCAGACGCCATGAGTAAGAGAAATGAAGTTATGTGTGGGGCAAAGCGGGTGGAGCAAAGCGGGTGGGGCAAAGCGGGTGGAGCAAAGCGGGTGGAGCAAGGCGGATGAGGCAAGGCAGGTGGGGCAAGGCGGTTGGAGGAAGGCGGATGGGGAAAGGTGGGTGGGGGAAGGCGGGTGGGGGAAGGCGGGAGGGGGAAGGCGGGAGGGGGAAGACGGGAGGGGGAAGGCGGGAGGGGGAAGGCGGGTGGGCGAGGAAAGAGACACTCACAGCGCCTCGTTGGATGAGCAGGCGGGCGATCTCCGTGTGGCCATTGGCTGCTGCCATGTGCAGCGCTGCATGCACGCATGCATGAATTGGACGCCACGCAGTGGTGTGCATGCATCATGCATGCATGGGATGTCACACATGCAAAAGGGAGGCGGGGACAGGGGGAGGATTGGGGTTGAGCGGAAGGAGGTGACATGGAGCACGAGAGAAGGACAGAATGAACGACATCTCCCCCAGTCCCCATTCCCCCACTTCCACATGTGAATTGCTGCACACATGCATGGCACACGTGCATGGCACACGTGCATGGCACACGTGCATGGCACACGTGCAAGGCACACGTGCATGGCACACATGCATGGTACACATGCATGGCTGTGAAGGAAACGAAAGAGGGTGGTTAGGGGATGGGGGAGGGGGGGGTTCAGACCTCCTCATCATCCCGCTCCTCATTCTCTCCCCACCGATTGCGCCCTTCATCCCCCCCCACACCTGTGCGCCCCCCCTTCCACCCCCCACCTGTGCGCCCTTCACTCCCCCCACCCCCCACCCCTCCTCCCACCTGTGCGCCCTTCACAACCCCCCCCACTCCCCCCCCTCCCTTCCCCCCCACCCCCCCAACCCCCACCTGTGCGACCCTCGTCCCCCATGCTCCCCCCTTACCTGTGCGCCCCTCATCATCCGCCAAGCCAGCATCAGCCCCGCCGTCCAGCGCTGCTGCCACGTCCTCCATGTCCCCGTACCGCGCTCCCTGCACGTGGAGGGAGAGGAGAGGGGGAAATCGCGGGGAGATCGCGGGGAGATCGAGGGGAGGACGAGCGGGAGACAAAGGGAGGAGAGGACAACGGTGGGGTTTCTGCGGCGTCTAATGCTTCTGCCACGTCATCTACGTCCCCGTACCGCGCTCCCTGCACGTGAACGGGGGGAGAGAGAGGAGGGGAAGATGGGGGAAGGCAAGGGGAAGACACGGCGGAGATAGCGGGAAGTGGGGAGCTGGGAAGTGGCATATGGGGGGAGAGATACGCAATGCCAGTGGGACGAGGGGAAAAGGGGGAATACGGGCGCCGAAAGCGGGTTACGGAAATTGGGCAGGATGGGGGCAAACAGTGGGGTAGCGTGCGGGGGCGGGGAGACGAGGGGTACACGGAGGGGGGAGATGCGCGAGAGAAGGGGGAGGTGAGTTTGCGCGTGAAATTCGCTAGATATTCGGAAATCGAATAGAAGACTCTTCCGCGGACCTGAATGAGCAGGTCCGCCAGGTCTTCCGCCGCTTCCGCCATCGCCGCGGGGGGCCCAGCCCCGTCGGGCGGCGCGCTGGGGCCAGCGGAAGAAGCGCACAGCGCAGGCGCGGACTCCGCGGGGGAAGCTTCCCCCACTCTCTGCGCTTCTGAGTCGTCAAACGTCACTCTTCCCATCAGGCAGTGTCACTTGCTACTTTCTATTGACAAATTGGAAACGGCGGAAGAAGGGACGATGAGAAGCCACGAGAAACGGAGTCCGGTGAAACAGGAATTTGTCAGCGCGTTGCTCCGAGAGGTGGGAAAAGCTAAGTATGAGGTGAGAGAAGGGGTTTCTGGCGATTTCTGACGCTGGATGTATTGCACAAGAAATGTACGTAAGTTATGTGGGAATTAGGTAAAAGAAGCGAGGATTAAGGGGCTGTTCGCGAACTCACACCTTGCGAAACTGCGAGTCAAATCGGAGAAAATCCTTACCGAATTGAGCGGCTGGATTCACGATATTGGCGACGGTTGTCTTCCCACTTGTTCATGCGCTTCGCCTTCGGGTGCAAGGAAATTCGGGGGAAATGAACAGGGTTACCTCGTGCCGTGGAAACTAGGGACCCTCGCCCACCTACTGCACCCACAAAAACGGAACTTCGGAACCACAAATGGACGCAGATATGCATACGGTCTCTCTATTCAAAGATCCGTTTGAAGCAGACGGAGTCGAGCATCTGCTTCTAACGCGTCAGCGCCTTGGGATCTTCCCATTTTGAAAATTAGGCGGCTATGTGCTCGAGATTTCACCGTTGGTGACGAGACGAGTCACGCAGCTGTAGCTTCGATTGTTTCCCCTTCCATATTGGCGGTGTTCGCCAGCACATTTGAAAGCATATGCGGCCTTATAACGATGGGATCAGGAAGGTGGGTCTTGCCTTCCTGATCCCGTCAGTTAGGGTTCGTTAAGCTCCGTCAGCCTGGTCAGCCCGTGAAAATGCTGCCGAGCCTAGGATGCCGTCCGACCAAATTGAATCTTTGGTCCTGGCGAACGCCCACACTTTTCTCAAACTTCAGAAGCCACCAAGGCATTCGGAAGTGGGGAAGCAATTTCCTCCCCGGGCAAACGAGAGTCCCACGCCATCCCATGGCAATCCACCATTTCACGGTGGATTGCCGTGTCATGGCGATGTCAATGGCCGGAAGGTGGAAGGTGGGGTGGCTGGTTCCATATGCATTTGTCATGTTTCCCATATCGGGGCAGGAAATTTCGCGCGTGGCATTTCGCCCAGCCCACTTCGGAGGGTTCCGGCCCCGCTTCCAGATGCAGTGGCCATTCAGATGGCGTCGTTTTTCTTCCAATCTCAAATGTGCTGGCGAACACCGCCATATGCAAGCAAACCGTCAGCGCTTGTTCCTCTCATCCTCCTTCCCGCGTCTCCCAAGATAGCTTGGCGCACCGCATGGAATTTGTTTCCCAGCGATGCCGGAATCTCTCTACAGCTTGGACACCTGACTCTTCGAAAGGTTCCCAAGGGCAGAGCGGATTCCTAGAATACCACCCATTGGCTATTCAGATCTATTGGGGAAACTTCTCAAAATGCGACGAAAGTCGCGAGCAATCGCTCAAAGTCCTGGAGACTGTACCGAGTTTTCCTCACAATCTAGTAGATAGCACTTCGCCACTCCAGAGCGGTAGATCTCTCATCGTAAATTCATATTTTCGGACGCCGAGTCGTGAATTTACACTTTGGGCTGTTTACAGCAACAAAAAATGGATGCTCGCGACGAAGAACGGTATACGTTCTTTGAATTAATGGACGCGGCCATGTCAAACCGCTTGCCACCTGCAAGAGATAAAAGAAGAAATGATGTCCGATTTGCTCGAGAGGAGGAAGCAGCGTCTGCAATCCTCGTCCAGGGGATCGCGCTTGTCAGACGACGTTATTGATGCTAATGTCGTAGTTTGCGGTCCTGCCTCTCCTGCCATCCCTCGAGGCCCTGTTCGCGGTGCGGCAAGTGAAGTACCGAGAAGGCACACTATAACCGAGGAAATGCAGGTGAGCTTACAAATAAGCGGACTATTATTTGTTTTTTTTTTTTTTTCCACTACCTGTCCTATATTTACTCCGATTACCTCCCATCTGTTTCAGCTGCATCGCCTTCCATTTTCCCACTCTTCTCATCCCTAGCTCTCTCCACCCTTCTGTTTTTACCCCCTTGTCCCGTGTTTCAGGACCTCGACGCCCAGCTGGATCAAGACAAACTGCTGCAGCTGTTCCAGACGGATCTAAGTTTTGACGGCGAACTTCCTGTTTCAGCATGTGTGATGTACAGTGCTCTCGTGCACTGGCGCTCCTTCGAAGTCGAGTCCACGGATGTATTTGACAAGATTATTGGGATCATGAGGGCTGCCATTGGGGCTCAGGATCCATATGCTGCTCCTGATGCGGATGCCGTCGCAAAATCCGTCACACAGCCTGAGGCTGCAAGTTCTGGTGCCGGGAAAGATGAAGATGCAGTGGGGAGTATTGTCAAGATGGCGTATTGGCTGGCAAACGCAGCTTCTCTGCTGCTTCTGCTCCTGAGATCTTTCAAGACCAATGAAGTTCCACGGGAAATGGCAGCATTTCATAAGGTATGTGGGGTATGGCAGCAGCAATAATTTGCGGGCGCTTCTTTTTTTCTTTCTTGCATCAGGTGTCAATAACAGGGTGTTGGGAGTAGGTTAAGTTGAGCAAAGATCGGGACATCATTGTCGCTCAGTGTTTTACATCCGATCCCGCACTTCCTAATAGCAACCCCTCATTTTCCTTCCTTTAATCAAGTGTTCGTCAAACACTCTTCAGTTCAATCTTTACTTTTCTGCAGGCAATCTTCAGCCCAAATGTCCCATCTGAGGACGAGATAGCTGCAGCGGAGGCTGATGGGGTGCAGCTTGTGAAGCCCACGTTTCCAGCTCTGCTCTTCGGGAAGGAGCTAGCAGCGTACGTGAAGAAGGTGTACATGTACTTTGCAAACAATCTCAGGAACGACATTGCACCGATACTGGTTGCCGGCTATGAGGCATGGGTATGCATACTGTTGTAAGAGTGTGTTGGCGTGCGTGCGTGTGCGTGCTTGCGTGCGTGCGCGCGCGTGCGTGCATGCGTGCGTGCGTGTGTGTGTGTGTGTGTGTGTGTATGTGTATGTGTGTGCATCTGTGTGGATATGTGTTTGGCTGTTGTATGTGAATGCGTGCGTGCGTGTGGATGTGTATGTGCGTGTTTGTCGATGGGGGCCCAAAAGCATGCTTTATACGATTTTCCCATCTTTATTGCCTTTCTACTGGTTTCCCATGCTCACCTCTTCAGGCCAGTACTCGTATTATGAGGAATTCACACAAGCAAAACCTGCGAGCAGCAGCACAAAGCCAGGCGATCTCAATACCAGCAGCAGAAGCACGGTGGAACCTTATAACCATGAAGCTCTCAGATATGCTCAACATAATGAAGCTCAACCATGTGCCTGCCTTCCTCGTCAGGAGCCTCTTCCGACTGATCTTTGCACTCATCAACGCGGAGCTCTTTAACCGGTCAGCTGTAGTATCCCGCTGCAAAATTTGGCTGCTTGCGTATTCTGGCTGCTTGAGAAATGAAGGTGCTTGCGATTTTGGCTGCCTTTGACTTGAAGCTGCTTGCGCTGCATACATTTATAGTTAGTTACCGTTTAAGTGTGCTTATTCAGCTTCTTGCGTACCTATGTACGGAAGCAACATCTGGCATTATGTTATCTCCTTTGATATCTCTCTCCGTTGGTTTCTCTTTAACCAAACCCATGCTGTGAAACCCAACTTCCCCCCATCCACAATCCCTTTGTGTCTCTCTCAATCCCCCCCATCCTCCCTCCCCCTTCTGATTCGGGCTTGTTGCCGCTCCTGATCTTTCCAGTGTTTTGTTTGGTCGTCACTGCTGCAACTTACATTTCGTCGACGCATATTTCAAGGAGGGGTTGATGGAGCTGCAGCGGTGGACCGCTGCCGCCAGTGATGAGTATATTGGTGATGCATGGGACTAGCTGCAGCACATCAGGCATGCTGTTGAGCTCATCGTACGTGCCAATCGCTACCACTTTCTGCTTCCCCATCACCTGCCACCGATGTGGATGCTGCCTGTTTCAGAATAACTAGGCAAGAATGGATGAACTAGCAGAAGTTTGGGTACAAATATGAAACCCTAGTTGGGGTTGTACCCCATATTGGCTACCCCACTACAGCCTACAAGCATAATACAGTTTAACACACCCCCATAGGCAAAGTGGGGGAGAACAAAGGGTCACAAGACCAGTCCAGCAAAGCAAAGCAAAGCCCAGGGTGGATCACAACGTCACCACACTCCGAGCACAAGTAAAGGCCACAAGGCCAGTTCACATGCAGTGCTAGATATAATACAAGACAAGCAACACAGTGATCAAAACCTAGCAAGTAAGCAACAAGATATATATAAAGTACAGTACAAAGAATGTCAAGCAGTGAGTAAGTGAGGAAACGTGGACACAAGGCCTAAAGAAGTACAGTGCCGCTGATGATCACTAGGCGGGAGCGCCTTGGTGAAGATATCAGCAGTGTTGGCCTTCGAGTCCACGTACACAAGCCGAAGCTGACCGCGCTGCTGAAGCTCTCGAGCAAGAAAGTAGCGAAGAGCAATGTGCTTCGTCCTGTGCTCCAGTCTGTGCTCTTGACACAAGGCAAGAGCCGCCTTGTTGTCACCGTACAGAACTGGAGGAGAACTAGGCCGCTCTCCCAAGTCAGTCAGCAGGTAGGTGAGCCAGCGTAACTCCTGTGCAGCCATGGCTGTGGCGTAGATCTCAGCCTCACAACTAGAGCCGAGAACAGAGGAAGAGCGGGTGGACCGCCACGAGACAGAACCAGAGCCAAGGCTGAAGGTGTAACCCTGTGACGACCGCTGCGTAGCCAGGTCGTCCACCCAAGAAGCGTCCGAGTGGCCAGTGAGGACAACTCTGTCGCGTCCTCCAAGCACCAGCCCCATGCCTGATGTACTGCACAGGTAGCGCAGTACCCTCTTAGCAGCCTCCCAGTGCTCTCGCCTGTGTCTCCCAGGCGCAACGTAACGAGCAAGGATGCTAAGAGGGTACGCGAGGTCAGGTCGCGTGCAAGTCATCAGGTACATGAGGCAGCCCACAAGCTCTGGGTACGGGCCACTCGGCTCTACGGACTCGTCCGGAGGTGGAGCTGAGAGCGAGTGGCTGGTAGCCAGAGGTGTGGCCTGTGGTGAGGAGAACTGGAAGCCGAAGCGCTGAAGGACCTGCTGCACCATGTGTGACTGAGTCAGGGTGATGGTGCGGCGAGCTCTGTCCCGGGTGATCTGCAAGCCAAGGTAGCTACGCAGCTCACCCAGGTCAGTGCAGGTGTGTCTCTTCTGCAGCTCCGACTTCACACGAGCGAGTGCCTCAGTGTCAGCAGTAGCAAAGACCAAGTCGTCGACGTACACGAGAATGTAGAACGGCGGCAGCGACGTGTCTGTGCGCAGAAACAGCGACGGGTCAGCAGTAGACGGCGCGAACCCAAGAGCCGCAAGTGTAGTCCTCAGTGTGTCGTGCCACTCGCGTGGCGCCTGGCGGAGACCGTAGACTGGCCGGCGGAGGCTCCACTGGGTACCAGGAGGAAACGACCCAGTAAAGCCAGGTGGGCGGCGCAGCCAGATCTCCTCGTGCAGGCTGCCCTGCAGGAACGCTGTGCTGAAGTCAAGAGAGTGAAGCTCGTAGTCACGCTGAGCAGCAACGTGCAGCAGAACCCGAAGAGTGGTCATCTTCGGGGTGGAGGAGAAGGTCTGGAAGAAGTCGACCCCCTGACGCTGACTGAAGCCTCTAGCAACGTAACGAGCCTTGAAGACAGGCGGAGAACCTGGCGGCCGCTTCACCCTGAAAATCCACATGCCATCGACGATGTTCGCCCCAGGAGGGGGAACCTCGTCGACGTAGGTGCCTGTGGACTTCCAGGATGCCATCTCTGCGTCCATGGCTGTCTGCCACTGAGAGGAGTAGGGACCCGAGATCGCCTCTGCGTAAGTGCGCGGAGTGGGGATGTCTAGTGCATCCGGGTCTCCCTCAGGGGCAAGCAACCAGGCCACGAGATGAGGTACAGCAGCCGCGAGAGAGTCAAAGTCCTCCTGCCTGTCCTCAAGGACGTCCGTGCCAAGAGCACACTCACCCCCGACGGACGGAGGACAGACAGACGCAGACTCAGACCCAGCAACAAGGCGAGCAGCGTAGTCTAGACGACAGGCAGCAGCAAAGTCAACCAACTCAGCGACCAGAGCAGACGCAGCCGAGGACTCAAAGGTAGGGTCAGTGACAATAGTAGCTAGGAGACGCGTGACAGTAGGGTGCTCAGCACGATACCGGTCAGACTCAGGGTCCGGAACAGCAGGCAAAGAGGACGCAGGAGGAGACGGCAGAGGGACACGCTGAGGAGCAGTAGAGGGACGCAGAGTCATGTAGTGAGTGCCTGGGACAGGAGGAGGACGCTCACGACGGACACGACGACCAGTGCGAGCAGTACGGACAGGCGACGCAGGACGAGACTCAGGCTCACGACGCTCTATAAGACCTCCTGTGGGACCAGTGTAAGGAGAGGGAGCAGGGAGAGGCGAGGCAGGCGGTAACTGTGACTGCGGCTGGACAGTCGGAGGACACTCTACGGAGGGAGGAGGACAAGGAGGAGGAGCCTGCCCAAGAACCTGCTGAAGGAGCGGTACGAAGTACGGCCGCGGCCGCGCAGCGTCTCCAGAAGCAGAAGAGACTCCAGCGTCCGGGTCCCCAGCACCAGCAGCAGCGCCACCGCTCGGGTCCTCAGCTCCAGCAGCAGCTCCACCAGGTGGGTCCGCAGCACCAGCAGCAGCACCACCCCCAGGGTCCGCAGCACCGCAAGGAAGAGCACCCCCAGAGTCGGCAGCTACAACTCCGCTAGCGCCGCCAGCTCCAGAGTCCCCAGCTCCAGCAGCTCCAGTCGTAGTGCTCCCAGAACAACCAGTCCCGGCAGCTCCAGTACCCCCAGCTCCAGCCGAGCCACTAGGACGGCGAAAGCGCCGGACGTACCAGTCACGAAGCTGCTGTGGTGTGAGAGACTGCTCAGCACCCCGAACCGGAGCACCCCCAGACGCAGCAACCCGAGGCTCCGTAGGCTCAGTAGCAGCACCCCCAGGCTCAGTACCCGCAGGCGCAGCACCCCCAGACTCAGCACCCCCAGACTCCGCACACGCCGGCTCAGCACCCCCAGTCGCAGCACCCCCAGGCTCAGTACCCCCAGGCGCCGAACTCTCAGGCACAGTACCCTCAGCTCCAGCACCCGTAGTCCCAGCACCCCCAGGCCCAGCACCCGCAGGCTCAGCACTCCCAGCAGCACCACCTGCAGCAGCACCTGAGTCACCTGTGACCTCGACAGGCTCAGCGACGGGAGGAGGGTCGACCTGAGAGACACCTGAAGGAGCAGGACCCTGAGGGGGAAGGGGGTCTACCGGAGGGGGACCAGGAGCAAGGAAAAGCGGCGGGGGAGGGAGGGGGGCAGTACGGTAGGGGAAGAGACGGTAAAAAGGGACCGACTCGTCAAAGGTGACGTCCTGAGAGGCGAAGACCCGGCGCGAGGTGGGGTGGTAAAACTGCCAGCCCGGCGCGTCAGGGACAAAGCCAAGGAAGACACAGGGAAGCGTGCGGGAGGAGAGCTTGTCCGCGGACGTATCGCGGACAAGGGCACGAGCACCCCACACCCGGAAGCGCGACGCATCGCCAACCTCCCCCGTCCAACGCAGTGTGGGCGAGGTCTCCGGCAAGGAGACACGGGGCCAGAGGTTGAGCTGATGCGCGGCGTATCGGACAGCAAACGGCCACAGAAAATGGGGAGCCGCCGCGTGGACCAAGGAGGTACGAGCGACCTCCATGACCAGGCCAATGCGGCGCTCAGCAACCCCATTCTGCTGTGGGGAGTCCGGAAGCGTGAAGGTCTGCTCGATGCCCTCCGCCTGACAGAAGGTCCTCAAGAGGTCGGAGGAAAACTCACCACCTCTGTCAGAGTGCAGACGCAGGACAGGAAGATCCGTCCGGAAACGGCGGCGGAGCTGGAGACGAACTGTGCGGATCCAAGGGATCAGAACAGCAGGGACCTCACCCTTGGTGCGCAAGGGGAAGACCGTGGTGTAACGCGAGTAGTCGTCGACAACCAGCAAAAAGTACCGCTCACCGCCCTGGCCACGAACGCGGGCTGGGCCCCACACGTCCAGGTGGAGGGTCTGCAGAGGAGCCTCTGTCGGGGGGAACGAGGAGGAGTGAGGAGCGGCGCGCTGCCGCCCCTCGACGCAAGGAAGGCAAGGCGGCGCAGGCGAGGCAGGGAGGGGAGGGAGGGACCTGGGAAGACCAGACACAAGGTGGCGACGGTGCATGCCACGGAGGCGTGGCAAGGAGGGGTGACCCAGGCGGTGGTGCCAGAGAAGAGTCTGGTGCGACAGGGAACGACACTCACAGGCGTGGGCCACCAGACCTGACGCGGACACCTGACCGACAGCAGCGACCTGAGGAGACGCAGTGGTCAGTGTGTAGAGACTCGACCCCGGCCGACGAGTAAACGTAGCCAGGTGACGGCCGGTCCTGGAGCACGTGCAGATCGCCACACGCTGTCCTCCAGGGGTAAAGGTGTCAACCCACTGATCCTGGATGACAGCGTTGCTCACCAGGTTCGTCGAGAACGAGGGGAGGTGGAAACCCGTCAACGAGCCAGACGGAACCGCCGGACAAGGGAGCACAGTGGTGGACTGGGCAAGGACTGGGCCCCCAGAGGGGTCAGCCAAGGAGACTGGGACCGGTGCAGGAAGCGGTGTGAGCTCAGTACTGTCTCGAAAGAAGCAGCGGGAAGCACCTGAGTCAAGGGTGAAGGTGTGACAGGTCTCAGCCGGTGCAGTACCTGAGAGAGCAGTCTCTGTGGGTGCTGTACCTGAGAGAGCAGACTCGCAAGCAGCAGGGACAGTGCTGGAGGGAGCAGGTACAGGGGGCACCATACCAGAGAGAGCAGACTCACTAGTACCTAGGGCAGCGGGCCCTATACCTGGGTCAGGCGGCACACACAAGTAACAGTCTCCCTCGGCACTAACAGTCAATGCATACATGGCAGCAATAATAGCATCATAGTCAAGAGCAAAGATATCAACACCAGCCCTCATCAGATCAGCCCAGCGAGGGCGCTCAACATCCTCGCCCATCTCCTCACGCCAAGCGTCGTCAAGGCGGAAGAAGCAGCGGTACTGAGTGTGGAACTTTCCACACGTCTGCCCCTTGCGATCACCTGTGCGAATGACATAGGAACAGCGGCCACTGCCCCCCGACGTCCCACGCTGAGCAAGCCACTCACGAAGCTGCTGGGTCGACTGGGGACGCTGCTGCTGCTGGGAGCTCTGGCCCGAGCCGGTGCCTCCACTCCGACCTCCACCGCCGCCACTACCTCCGCTCCGACCGCCACCACCGCCACCGCCACCGCCACTGCCGCCACCGCCGCCACTGCCGCCGCTGCCACCACCGCCACTGCTCCCGCCGCCGCCCCCGCCTCCGCCGCCGGCCCCACTCCCACCGGCACTCCCGCCACCGCTCCCTCCAGCACCGCCTCCCCCCCCACCTCCCCCACCCCCTCCCCCCCCAGCGCCACCCCCGCCACCCTTGCCCCCCTTGCCCTTGCCGGTGCGGCGCCTCCCACCAGGAGCAGAAGCAGCGCCAGCAGACTCAGCACCAAGGAAGTCAACAGCAGCAGCAGTAGCATAGGAGGGAGCGAGGGGAGAGGGAGAGCACCCCTCAAAGATGGGGGTGCGAGGAGCGCCGCGAGCAGCACCAACAGCTACAAGGCACTTCTCGGCTGCTAGCAGCTTCTCCTCTAGGAGGGCGACAGTGAGCTCAGTGGGACAGCGAGCAAGGAAATAGTCGCGCACTGAGCTGAGGGTGTCAGGGAGACGGGTGACTATGAAGTGGAGTGCCCAGTACAGGGGAGGGGGGTTCTTAGCGCAGAACTCGGTGGGAAGGGCGGCACGCAGGCGAGCATCACTAGTGCGAAGGTGGGTGATAAGATCGGCGACTGTAGCAAAGGTGGACAGGTCAGGGAACAGGTAAGGCAGCATGAGACGGCTAAGCTCGGCTGTGGCAGGTGAGGAGTAGCGAGCAACGACAGCGTCGTATAGGGCCTTAGCGGTTTTGCAGTCGCCAAAGTGCTCTAGCTCAGCTAACGGCAGGTGACTGCGAATAGCCAGGCGAGCTGCAGCGTCACGAGTCTGCCACTGTGAACGTACACTAAGCTCGGCTGTGGCAGCAGGAGCAGCGGCAGCACCAGACGCGTAGTCATAGAGGGAGATGTGGTCCGTGCTATTGCTCATAAGATACAACTGCAGGTCGTCGAGCCAGGAAGTGAACTGCACGGGACGGCCCTCAGCATCGAAGGAAAGAACGCGAATAGAGGCCATAGCTCAGGCGTGAGGGCACAGCAGAGCAGCGGCAGCAGCAGAGGGGACGCACTAGAGCGAAGCTAGCAGCCACAGCAGGAGCAAGCGGCGGTGCACAGGCAGGGAGCAGCAGGCGAGGCGGGCGGCGCTGCAGGCGGGAAGTGCGGCGGGCGGGCTGCGAAGCGGGCAGCGGGGCGGGCGGGCGACGCGGCGAGCGGGCAGCGCGGCGGGCGGCTGCGAAGCGGGCAGCGGGCGGGCGGGCGACGCTGCAAGCGGGCAGCGGGCGGGCGGGCGACGCTGCAAGCGGGCAGCGAGGCGGGAGGGCGACGCTGCGAGCGGGCAGCGCGGCGGGCGGGCGACGCTGCGAGCGGGCAGCGAGCGAGCGGGCGACGCTGCGAAGCGGGCAGCGGGCGGGCGGGCGACGCTGCGAGCGGGCAGCAAGCGGGCGGGCGACGCTGCGAAGCAGGTAGCGGGCGGGCGGGCGGCGCTGCGAGCGGGCAGCGAAGCGGGCGGGCCGCGAAGCGGGCAGCGAGCGGGCGGGCGGGCTGCGAAGCGGGCAGCGGGGCGGGCGGGCTGCGAAGCGGGCAGCGGGGCGAGCGGGCGACGCTGCGAGCAGGCAGCGCGGCGGGCGAGGGGCGAGCGGGCAGCGTGGCGGGCGGGCGACGCTGCGAGCGGGCGGCTCGGCGGGCGGGCGACGCTGCGAGGGGCGCGCGAGGGCGCTAGCGAGGGGCGCGCGAGGGCGCTAGCAAGGGGCGCGCGAGGGCGCTAACGAGGGGCGCGCGAGGGCGCTAACGAGGGTGCGCGAGGGCGCTAACGAGGGGCGCGCGAGGGCGCTAACGAGGGGCGCGCGAGGGCGCTAACGAGGGCGCACGAGGGCGCTACGAGGCTAGGGCACGGGGTAGCGTGGTAACCGCATGCGAGCGGTGGTGGGCCCTTAAAAAAAACGGTCGGTAGGTCCTAGGGACCTCCTGCTCTGAATACCATTTCAGAATAACTAGGCAAGAATGGATGAACTAGCAGAAGTTTGGGTACAAATATGAAACCCTAGTTGGGGTTGTACCCCATATTGGCTACTCCACTACAGCCTACAAGCATAATACAGTTTAACAGCCTGGCAGGCATTCCCCTTTTTCACCTTAGACTTTGCATGATATCTTTCGCTATTTTTGTTCTTTAACCATGTTTGCTGTCCATTCCTTATTGTACCAACCCTCTCATGCTCCAACCTGTTCCAACTGACAGGTCCTTTCTGAAAAATATGAGGTGACACTGGAAGAAATACGTTTGCAGTTCCCTGCTTTAAGCATGCCACATCTCGATCATATCGGTGGCATGATCCCGACTAGCTATCACAGTGCCACCTTCGTGACACGTGATATGATGGATGCCATTCTTGGGAAGTGCAAGAAAGAGGTTGCTCGTTATGACACTGATGCCTTCCTCCTTGATAGTGATCGTAGGTTAGTTTTTGCTCCAGCTGTCCCTGTTTTGTTGCGCTTGTGCTATTGCTGCTGACCATGCTGTTCAGGATACTGCTGTCGTTCCAGAGATGCTTTAGGCCCCAACAATATCCTCTCCATTTGGTCTTTGTGTCTTACCCTCCCCTCCTCACCTTTCACATGTCAGTATCCCATTTTCAGTAAGTGACATGTATGAGGAGCAGCCCAGAATCTCCCTCAACGATCTACTTGTGCCTCCTCACTTTCCTTAGAAGTTTTTTTACTTGACAGGTGCAGCTGGATATTCCTTCTTAAGCTACGTACAAGTCTGTCTGGTCGGTTTCTGTCCACTCCACAAGCATACACTTTAGTTTAGGCTGGAGTTGTGATTATGGACACAATGGGATCATGTGTAAAAAATGTGACATCTGGAAAGTACACCAGCTTTGTAGTGATAGTTGCAATAGACAGGTGGACTACACAGCATGGATAATAAATATATGAGGAGAGGGTACAGATTGACACGAAATTAAGTTGAAGTCTCAAATGTTGAAATCTTTAAAACCTTGTGACTTCTTGTTAGTGACGCACGAGTATTAGGTGTCAGAGGTCCACTGGAGATCCCCGATTGATCCTAGGGAAGGGTTACAGACATGTCGGCCTAGGGGGGTATGGGCGCACTCATCCGCTACACAAACAAGCCCTTTTATCCCAGTGGTTAGTGGCTGGGATTCTGACATGGTATCAGAGCGAAGATCTCGGGTTCGAATCCCGGTGTGTGCACCTTGGGCATCCCAGTGCGGGGGGGGTGTCAGAGGTCCACTGGTGATCCCCGATTGATCCTAGGGAAGGGTTACAGGCACATTGGCCTGGGGGGTTATGGGCGCACTCACCCGTTACACAAACAAGCCCTTTTATTCCAGTGGTTAGTGGCTGGGATTCTGACATGCATTAGGAGAGTTGCTAAACACTCGAAGTGCCAGATTCCAAACTTTCTGGCAAGTATTGTGACAGCCTACAAAGGGTAGGCTGAGGTGCGTCAGAGCTCTGCTATGATTGGCGAAAAAAACAGGGCTCTGGATAGGTTTTGAGCTGCTCTTTCGCTTAAGGCCAACACCCCGCTTTCACTTTTTTCTGAAAGGGTAGATCACAAGAACTACTCTTTCTAGTAAGGGTGCAAAAAAAAAAAAAAAACAAAACAAGAGGCGATGAGATCGTCTTAGGGTTGCGAAGCTGTTTGCACAAATACATATTTGATTTGGTTGTTATCTTATGTAAAACAATAAGCGCCCTATAACTTGAATACTTGTTCAGTTAGACTTTGTAAAATGGCTGCACTAAGAGTCAAACCTAACTCCTTTTGATTATGGTGCTACGTTCAAACGACTGCTCTACATTAGCTACACGGTTACTTCATTTTGCAAATTACCGACAATTGCGCGGTGTGTGACCGGCTCTAGGGTTTCGTATTGATTTTCTCTTTCTCTCTCCCACTCGTGAATGAATCTATTTCCCTTGCCTCACGCTACTCACGCTCCACCTACCAAGGTCAGAAGATTATGATCACTCCTAGAACGTAGTAATCTCATGGTAAGCTCTTATTCTAGTCTTTTTTTTGGGTTGCGAAGCAACCTATTACAATCGTTATGTACAATTTTTTTTTCATCATCTTCACGTTAAAAAAAAAAGATGAAATAAATATAGTGAACGGTGGCTACGGTAATTGACTCACTATGTATTTGCCACTTTCCTTCTCATTTCCTACCGGTAGTTTGCTTTGACTTAACCTATACTGTATGGATGAAACATGAATATGGGTTGGCCAATTGATGTTACCAGTACTGTGAACGCGTGACTGTTTATTCCGTAATGCATATGCATGATAATGTTATGCATAGATAAAATATAATGATAGACATGTGAACCAAATATTGAATGAAAAATGCATAAAGATAATGCATATGCTATTGTGGTGAATGTAGTATTATTACGATATTAGTCTAGTGTAGTGACATGAATGCATAGCATGATAGAAATGCGTAACAGTTAATTGACCCAGACCCTATGCTACGGCATCCCCTGCCTAGCATGGGGGAAAGCTCAATAACATAATTTCTGAGCCATCCAACTGCCACATGAAACAACACAATCCGTGAAAACTAAAAAAATGATCAAGATCCATCAAATCCAGTTCAAGTGAACACACTCACTGAGTGGGCAAAGAACCTTCTCGGAAATGATAGGTTGATCATTTTTTTAAAATCCACAGATGCGCATTGTTAATGCAATGATAAATGTATATGGATGAGTACGCACACACAGAGACTGTCAGAATGTTATTGTCTAGCCTGCAGTGGGGTGCTCAATAGTGAGTACAACCCCTTAGGGTTTCCTATATGTATCCTGCTGCTTGCTAGTTCATCATCATTCCCATTCTCACAATTCTCCTTCGTATACCACAAACCCTAGTCCTAGGGCACAACCTACTACCTCCTAGTGTGGGTATGTTAAGAGAACTAGGCAAGAATGGTGCATTGAATGGAAGAATTGGGTACAAGTAGCAAACCCTAGTTGGGGTTGTACCCCATATTGGCTACCCCACTACAGCCTACAAACATAATACAGTTTAACACACCCCCATAGGCAAAGTGGGGGAGAACAAAGGGTCACAAGACCAGTCCAGCAAAGCAAAGCAAAGCCCAGGGTGGATCACAACGTCACCACACTCCGAGCACAAGCAAAGGCCACAAGGCCAGTTCACATGCAGTGCTAGATATAGAACAGGACAAGCAGCAAGATATATATAAAGTACAGTACAAAGAAAGTCAAGCAGTAAGCAAATGAGGAAAAGTGGACACAAGGCCTAAAGAAGTACAGTGCCGCTGATGATCACTAGACGGGAGCGCCTTGGTGAAGATATCAGCAGTGTTGGCCTTCGAGTCCACGTACACAAGCCGAAGCTGACCGCGCTGCTGAAGCTCTCGAGCAAGAAAGTAGCGAAGAGCAATGTGCTTCGTCCTGTGCTCCAGTCTGTGCTCCTGACACAAGGCAAGGGCCGCCTTGTTGTCACCGTACAGAACTGGAGGAGAACTAGGCCGCTCTCCCAAGTCAGTCAGCAGGTAGGTGAGCCAGCGTAACTCCTGTGCAGCCATGGCTGTGGCGTAGATCTCAGCCTCACAACTAGAGCCGAGAACAGAAGAAGAGCGGGTGGACCGCCACGAGACAGAACCAGAGCCAAGGCTGAAGGTGTAACCCTGTGACGACCGCTGCGTAGCCAGGTCGTCCACCCAAGAAGCGTCCGAGTGACCAGTGAGGACAACTCTGTCGCGTCCTCCAAGCACCAGCCCCATGCCTGATGTACTGCACAAGTAACGCAGCACCCTCTTAGCAGCCTCCCAGTGCTCTCGCCTGTGTCTCCCAGGCGCAACGTAACGAGCAAGGATGCTAAGTGGGTACGCGAGATCAGGTCGCGTGCAAGTCATCAGGTACATGAGGCAGCCTACAAGCTCTGGGTACGGGCCACTCGGCTCTACGGACTCGTCCGAAGGTGGAGCTGAGAGCGAGTGGCTGGTAGCCAGAGGTGTGGCCTGTGGTGAGGAGAACTGGAAGCCGAAGCGCTGAAGGACCTGCTGCACCATGTGTGACTGAGTCAGGGTGATGGTGCGGCGAGCTCTGTCCCGGGTGATCTGCAAGCCAAGGTAGCTACGCAGTTCACCCAGGTCAGTGCAGGTGTGTCTCTTCTGCAGCTCCGACTTCACACGAGCGAGTGCCTCAGTGTCAGCAGTAGCAAAGACCAAGTCGTCGACGTACACGAGAATGTAGAACGGCGGTAGCGACGTGTCTGTGCGCAGAAACAGCGACGGGTCAGCAGTAGACGGCGCGAACCCAAGAGCTGCAAGTGTAGTCCTCAGTGTGTCGTGCCACTCACGTGGCGCCTGGCGGAGACCGTAGACTGGCCGGCGGAGGCTCCACTGGGTACCAGGAGGAAACGACCCAGTAAAGCCAGGTGGGCGGCGCAGCCAGATCTCCTCGTGCAGGCTGCCCTGCAGGAACGCTGTGCTGAAGTCAAGAGAGTGAAGCTCGTAGTCACGCTGAGCAGCAACGTGTAGCAGAACCCGAAGAGTGGTCATCTTCGGGGTGGGGGAGAAGGTCTGGAAGAAGTCAACCCCCTGACGCTAACTGAAGCCTCTAGCAACGTAACGAGCCTTGAAGACAGGTGGAGAACCTGGCGGCCGCTTCACCCTGAAAATCCACATGCCATCGACGATGTTCGCCCCAGGAGGGGGAACCTCGTCGACGTAGGTGCCTGTGGACTTCCAGGATGCCATCTCTGCGTCCATGGCTGTCTGCCACTGAGAGGAGTAGGGACCCGAGATCGCCTCTGCGTAAGAGCGCGGAGTGGGGATGTCTAGTGCATCCGGGTCTCCCTCAGGGGCAAGCAACCAGGCCACGAGATGAGGTACAGCAGCCGCAAGAGAGTCAAAGTCCTCCTGCCTGTCCTCAAGGACGTCCGTGCCAAGAGCACACTCACCCCCGACGGACGGAGGACAGACAGACTCAGACCCGGCAACAAGACTGGCGGCGTAGTCTAGACGACAGGCAGCAGCAAAGTCGACAAGCTCAGCGACCAGGGCAGACGCAGCAGCAGACTCAAACGACGGGTCAGTGACAACAGTGGCGAGAAGACGCGTAACAGTAGGGTGGGCAGCACGAACACTGTCAGACTCAGGGTCGGGAACGTCAGGAAGAGAAGACGCAGGAGGAGACGGTAGGGGGACACGCTGTGGACCAGTGGAAGGACGAAGGGCCATAATATGCGTGCCAGGAACAGGAGGAGGACGCGGACGCGCGACACGACGACCAGTGGGACCAGTGCGCGCAGTGCGAGCAGCGCGAGCAGCGCGAACAGGCGAGGCAGGACGAGACGCAGGCTCGCGACGCTCCGTAAGCGAGTCCGGCTGTGCAGTATAAGGCACAGGAGCAGGGAGGGGGGAGCCAGGCTGGAGGGGAAGGCCAGTGGAAGACGGGAGGGAAAGAACCTGGCGAAGCACCGTGTCAGGCGGCGGCAAAGCCGACGGCGACGGAGGAGCGAAGAACAGGCGCGACGGCGGAGCTCCGCCAGCACCTCCAGCACCCGGAGCACCAGAAGCACCTGGACCAGCACCCTCCGCCGCAGCACCCCCCGAGTCGGCGACGTCAGCACCAGAGGCCCCAGCAGCGTCAGACCTCCCCTCGCCAGCACCTCCAGAACCAGCAGGACCACTGCGTCCACAACCGTCAGCTCCAGCGTTGTCAGCTCCAGCAGCTCCAGTACCGCCAGGAAGAGCACCCCCAGACGCAGCAACCCCAGGCTCCGTAGGCTCAGCAGCAGCACCCCCAGGCCCAGTACCCCCAGACTCCGTACACGCAGGCTCAGCACCCCCAGTCGTAGCACCCCCAGGCTCAGCACCCCCAGGCGCCGAACTCCCAGGCACAGTACCCTCAGCTCCAGCACCCGCAGTCCCAGCACTCCCAGGCCCAGCACCCGCAGGCTCAGCACCCCCAGGCTCAGCACTCCCAGCAGCACCACCTGCAGCAGCACCTGAGTCACCTGTGACCTCGACAGGCTCAGCGACGGGAGGAGGGTCTACCTGAGAGACACCTGAAGGAGCAGGACCCTGAGGGGGAAGGGGGTCTACCGGAGGGGGACCAGGAGCAAGGAAAAGCGGCGGGGGAGGGAGGGGGGCAGTGCGGTAGGGGAAGAGACGGTAAAAAGGGACCGACTCGTCAAAGGTGACGTCCTGAGAGGCGAAGACCCGGCGCGAGGTGGGGTGGTAAAACTGCCAGCCCGGCGCGTCAGGGACAAAGCCAAGGAAGACACAGGGAAGTGTGCGGGAGGAGAGCTTGTCCGCGGACGTATCGCGGACAAGGGCACGAGCACCCCACACCCGGAAGCGCGACGCATCGCCAACCTCCCCCGTCCAACGCAGTGTGGGCGAGGTCTCCGGCAAGGAGACACGGGGCCAGAGGTTGAGCTGATGCGCGGCGTATCGGACAGCAAACGGCCACAGAAAATGGGGAGCCGCCGCGTGGACCAAGGAGGTACGAGCGACCTCCATGACCAGGCCAATGCGGCGCTCAGCAACCCCATTCTGCTGTGGGGAGTCCGGAAGCGTGAAGGTCTGCTCGATGCCCTCCGCCTGACAGAAGGTCCTCAAGAGGTCGGAGGAAAACTCACCACCTCTGTCAGAGTGCAGACGCAGGACAGGAAGATCCGTCCGGAAACGGCGGCGGAGCTGGAGACGAACTGTGCGGATCCAAGGGATCAGAACAGCAGGGACCTCACCCTTGGTGCGCAAGGGGAAGACCGTGGTGTAACGCGAGTAGTCGTCGACAACCAGCAAAAAGTACCGCTCACCGCCCTGGCCACGAACGCGGGCTGGGCCCCACACGTCCAGGTGGAGGGTCTGCAGAGGAGCCTCTGTCGGGGGGAACGAGGAGGAGTGAGGAGCGGCGCGCTGCCGCCCCTCGACGCAAGGAAGGCAAGGCGGCGCAGGCGAGGCAGGGAGGGGAGGGAGGGACCTGGGAAGACCAGACACAAGGTGGCGACGGTGCATGCCACGGAGGCGTGGCAAGGAGGGGTGACCCAGGCGGTGGTGCCAGAGAAGAGTCTGGTGCGACAGGGAACGACACTCACAGGCGTGGGCCACCAGACCTGACGCGGACACCTGACCGATAGCAGCGACCTGAGGAGACGCAGTGGTCAGTGTGTAGAGACTCGACCCCGGCCGACGGGTAAACGTAGCCAGGTGACGGCCGGTCCTAGAGCACGTGCAGATCGCCACACGCTGTCCTCCAGGGGTAAAGGTGTCAACCCACTGATCCTGGATGACAGCGTTGCTCACCAGGTTCGTCGAGAACGAGGGGAGGTGGAAACCCGACAACGAGCCAGACGGAACCGCCGGACAAGGGAGCACAGTGGTGGACTGGGCAAGGACTGGGCCCCCCGAGGGGTCAGCCAAGGAGACTGGGACCAGTGCAGGAAGCGGAGTGAGCTCAGTACTGTCACGAAAGAAACAGCGGGAAGCACCTGAGTCAAGGGTGAAGGTGTGACAGGCCTCAGCCGGTGCGGTACCTGAGAGAGCAGTCTCTGTGGGTGCTGTACCTGAGAGAGCAGACTCGCAAACAGCCGGGACAGCACTGGAGGGAGCAGGTACAGGGGGCACCATACCAGAGAGAGCAGACTCACTAGTACCCAGGGCAGCGGGCTCTATACCTGGGTCAGGCGGCACACACAAGTAACAGTCTCCCTCGGCACTAACAGTCAATGCATACATGGCAGCAATAATAGCATCATAGTCAAGAGCAAAGATATCAACACCAGCCCTCATGAGCTCAGCCCAGCGGGGGCGCTCAACATCCTCGCCCATCTCCTCACGCCAAGCGTCGTCAAGGCGGGAGAAGCAGCGGTACGGGGTGTGGAACCTCCCACACGTCTGTCCCTTGCGGTCACCTGTGCGAATGACATAGGAACAGCGGCCACTGCCCCCCGACGTCCCACGCTGAGCAAGCCACTCACGAAGCTGCTGGGTCGTCTGGGGACGCTGCTGCTGCTGGGAGCTCTGGCCCGAGCCAGTGCCTCCACTCCGACCTCCGCCGCCACCACTACCACCGCTCCGACCGCCACCGCCACCACCGCCACCGCCGCCACCGCCGCCACCGCCGCCGCCGCCACTACTGCCACTGCTTCCTCCGCCGCCCCCGCCTCCACCGCCGACCCCACTCCCACCAGCGCTCCCGCCACCGCTCCCTCCAGCACCGCCTCCCCCCCCACCTCCCCCACCTCCTCCCCCCCCAGCGCCACCCCCGCCACCCTTGCCCCCCTTGCCCTTGCCGGTGCGGCGCCTCCCACCAGGAGCAGAAGCAGCGCCAGCAGACTCAGCACCAAGGAAGTCAACAGCAGCAGCAGTAGCGTAGGAGGGAGCGAGGGGAGAGGGAGAACACCCCTCAAAGATGGGGGTGCGAGGAGCGCCACGAGCAGCACCTACAGCTACAATGCTCTTCTCGGCTGCTAGCAGTTTCTCCTCTAGGAGGGCGACAGTGAGCTCAGTGGGACAGCGAGCAAGGAAATGGTCGCGCACTGAGCTAAGGGTGTCAGGGAGACGGGTGACTATAAAGTGGAGTGTCCAGTACAGTGGAGGGGGGTTCTTAGCGCAGAACTCGGTGGGAAGGGCGGCACGCAGGCGAGCGTCACTAGTGCGAAGGTGGGTGATAAGATCGGCGACTGTAGCAAAGGTGGACAGCTCAGGGAACAGGTAAGGCAGCATAAGGCGGCTAAGCTCGGCTGTGGCAGGTGAGGAATAGCGGGCAACGACAGCGTCGTACAGGGCCTTAGCGGTTTTGCAGTCGCCAAAATGCTCGAGCTCAGCTAACGGCAGGTGACTGCGAATGGCTAGGCGAGCAGCTGCGTCACGAGTCTGCCAGTGGGAACGAACACTAAGCTCAGCTGTGGCAGGAGGGGCAGGTGCAGCACCAGACGCGTAATCATAGAGCGACACATGCTCCTTGCTATCGCTCAGGAGGAACAGCTGCAGGTCATCCAGCCAAGTGGCGAACTTCACAGGGCGGCCCTCAGCATCGAACGACAGCACGCGGATGGAAGCCATAGCGACAGTGCGACTGAGCAAAGGAAGCTGCCGCAGCGCTGCAGGTAGGTAGCTCGGCGGGAAGCGCGGCGGGCGGGCAGTGCGGGGGGGCGGGCTACGAAGCGGGCAGCGCGGTGGGCAGGCGGCGCTGCAGGCGGGAAGTGCGGCGGGCGGGCTGCGAAGCGGGCAGCGGGGCGGGCGGGCGACGCGGCGAGCGGGCAGCGCGGCGGGCGGGCTGCGAAGCGGGCAGCGGGCGGGCGGGCGACGCTGCGAGCGGGCAGCGAGCGGGCGGGCGGGCTGCGAAGCGGGCAGCGGGCGGGCGGGCGACGCTGCAAGCGGGCAGCGGGCGGGCGGGCGACGCTGCGAGCGGGCAGCGCGGCGGGCGGGCTGCGAAGCGGGCAGCGGGCGGGCGGGCGACGCTGCAAGCGGGCAGCGGGCGGGCGGGCGACGCTGCGAGCGGGCAGCGCGGCGGGCGGGCTGCGAAGCGGGCAGCGGGCGGGCGGGCGACGCTGCAAGCGGGCAGCGAGGCGGGCGGGCGACGCTGCGAGCGGGCAGCGCGGCGGGCGGGCGACGCTGCGAAGCGGGCAGCGGGCGGGCGGGCGACGCTGCAAGCGGGCAGCGGGCGGGCGGGCGACGCTGCGAGCGGGCGCGCGAGGGCGCTAACGAGGGGCGCACGAGGGCACTAACAAGGGTGCGCGAGGGCGCTAGCGAGGGCGCGCGAGGGCGCTAACGAGGGGCGCACGAGGGCGCTAACGAGGGCGCGCGAGGGCGCTAACGAGGGCGCACGAGGGCGCTACGAGGCTAGGGCACGGGGTAGCGTGGTAACCGCATGCGAGCGGTGGTGGGCCCTTAAAAAAACGGTCGGTAGGTCCTAGGGACCTCCTGCTCTGAATACCATGTTAAGAGAACTAGGCAAGAATGGTGCATTGAATGGAAGAATTGGGTACAAGTAGCAAACCCTAGTTGGGGTTGTACCCCATATTGGCTACCCCACTACAGCCTACAAACATAATACAGTTTAACAGTGTGGGCCTAGGCTACTAAGCCTAGGCCCCACTCCTAGTATTCCTGACATGGTATCTAGAGCCAGTACGATCCTGCCGCTTACCTCCATGGGCCCACCACCTGCTTCCGCTGCCGTACCGTCCGTCGCGCGCCCCGTGGTGCGCGGCGGCGAAACCCTAATTTTTCATCCCGCCGCGCGCTCGGAGCGTGCGGCGGTTTTCTGCCCGCCGTGCGCCCCGAGGCGCGCGGCGGTTTTCTGCCCGCCGTGCGCCCCGAGGCGCGCGGCGGCTTTCTGCCCCGTCACTCCGCGAGTCGCCCCCGGGAGGAGCTGCGACGGGCGACGGGGACCCGCGCGTCGCCCCCCGTCGCCCGTCGTGGCCCGTGCGACCTCCGTAGGGCCCGCGCGCGGCCCGTACGGACTGCGCCAGGCCAGGGCGCGCCTCGAGCCGCCCGCCACTGCAGCAGCAGCCCCTGGAGCCGCCCGCCACTGCAGCAGCAGCCCCTGGAGCCGCCCGCAACTGCAGCAGCAGCCCCTGGAGCCGCCAGCACCTGCAGCAGCAGCCCCTGGAGCCGCCAGCACCTGCAGCAGCAGCCCCTGGAGCCGCCCGCAACTGCTGCAGCAGCCCCTGGAGCCGCCAGCAACTGCAGCAGCAGCCCCTGGAGCCGCCCGCCACTGCAGCAGCCGCCCCTGGAGCCGCCCGCCACTGCAGCAGCCGCCCCTGGAGTCGCCCGCCACAGCAGCAGCCGCCCCTGGAGCAGCCGCCCCTGCAGCAGCCGCCCCTGGAGCCGCCCGCCACTGCAGCAGCCGCCCCTGGAGTCGCCCGCCACAGCAGCAGCCGCCCCTGCAGCAGCCGCCCCTGCAGCAGCCGCCCCTGGAGCCGCCAGCAACTGCAGCAGCCGCCCCTGGAGCAGCCGCCCCTGCAGCAGCCGCCCCTGGACCTCAGAAGCCGCCCCTGGACCCGGTACGCTCTGCTGCTGCCCGATGCTGCCCGTGCCTGTGCTGCCCGTGCCTTGTCCCTCGAGCCTACTACCTACCTACCTGTGCCTGTGCCTGTGCCTGTGCCTGTGCCTGTGCCTGCTCGCACCTTGTGCCTCGAGCCTACTACCTACCTGCCTGTGCCTGTGCCTGTGCCTCTGCCTGTGCCTGTGCCTGTGCCTGTGCCTGCTCGTGCCTTGTGCCTCGAGCCTACTACCTACCTGCCTGTGCCTGTGCCTGTGCCTGTGCCTCTGCCTGTGCCTGTGCCTGTGCCTGTGCCTGCTCGTGCCTTGTGCCTCGAGCCTACTACCTACCTACCTGCGCCTTCGTGCCTTGTGCCTTGTGCCTTGTGCTTCGTGCCTCGTGCATCGTGCGCCCTGCTCCGCGCTGTTGCTCTGCACGCGCGGTTGCCCGCGCCCTCGTGCGCTCTACCCTACCTGCTCCGCGCTGTTGCTCTGCACGCGCGGTTGCCCGCGCCCTCGTGCGCTCTACCCTACCTGCTCCGCGCTGTTGCTCTGCACGCGCGGTTGCCCGCGCCTTCGTGCGCTCTACCCTACCTGCTCCGCGCTGTTGCTCGGCACGCGCGGTTGCCTGCGCCCTCGTGCGCTCTCCCGCCCCGGCCCTCCCCCCCCCCCCCCTGCGTCCCCTGGACAGGAGAGTGTGGGGGTGGCGGGTGTGGGGGTGCTCCGTGTGCGTCGCCCCTTCCTTCTCCTCCGTCTCCCACTGCTGCAGCTGCCGCTGCGGGGGGGTGGATGTGTGGGAGACGAGGGAGTGGCGCTAGGGGGGTGATGTGGGCGTGGAGCGAGTGGTGACCCTGGGGGTGAGTGTAGGGGGGAGTGAGACAGTTGGAGGAGGTTGCAACCTGGTGCTCCTGGTGCCCGTGTGTCTGCAACTTCAGTCGTCGCCTCCTCTCATCTCTCCCTCCACAGTTCCTCCTCCTCCTCACTGGCCTCCTGTGACTGCCACTAGCTTTGCTCATATTTGTGAACTATTGCACTGCCTGCTCATTGTACTGATTGCACCTCACTTTGGCTATGGGGGTGTGTCAGAATGTTATTGTCTAGCCTGCAGTGGGGTGCTCAATAGTGAGTACAACCCCTTAGGGTTTCCTATATGTATCCTGCTGCTTGCTAGTTCATCATCATTCCCATTCTCACAATTCTCCTTCGTATACCACAAACCCTAGTCCTAGGGCACAACCTACTACCTCCTAGTGTGGGCCTAGGCTACTAAGCCTAGGCCCCACTCCTAGTATTCCTGACAGAGACACATACGCACATTCCAATATGCACACACATAAACTCAAACGCAATCAAAAAATAAACCCAGAAGAAACCTAGCATAACAATTCAGTATTATCAATCATACAAACAAGAATACATCTACTTTTCTAGTTGGCCTTGATTTTCCGATTAGTACAGCAAAGACTCTGAGGGGGAAAAGGGAGGGGAGGAATGTGGGAGGGGAAAGGAATGGGGCAGAAAGGGCAGGAGGACGAAAGCAGAGACGCATAAGAGAACTACGATACAACAGAATTTCATGATTGAAAACGTAAACAAAGACGATCTAAAACGAGCACGGTGACAACGATGAAAGGAAAAGACACATGAATGAGAATCTTTGCTAAAAACCAGAATGGAAAGCTAAACAAAGGGACTAGAAAGTCTAAACAACCTGCATCACTAAAAAACGGCAAATACAGAAGTAGACGACCAGGAAAGAGATGGTGAAAGCCTAGTGAATGTTATAATCATGTAAGTCAGTTCTGATTGATAGCTTAGAATCTTTCTCACTTTAGAGTGGTAAGTAGAGCATGGCTAGCAGGCGGGTATCAACCAAGCCCTACCAGCGAAATGAAAGGACGGAGGGAAAATAGAGACACAAACCCTAACGCAGTTACAATCCCATAGCAAAAAGACGGCCCTAACTTTTACGATGCTTTTCGGATTCAGAGGCTTTGGCGGAGACGGTAAAAAGCAAACATTTCAGTCAGAAGAGTCAAACGAATATTACTACAAACTTCTCTTCTACTCTCCTAGTTTCCCGCACTCATCCTCTTCTCCACACCCTCCCCACTCCCTCGCTGATTCTGTCTCTTTCCCACGCTCTTCTCTCACCAAATTCTGCCGCCTTCGTTGCTGCAGCTGCCGCGGACAGCACGCCTCGAGATGGATAGCGTGGTTGTGTCGTCTCTCCTTAGCGCGCCTAGCACAAGCAAAAAGTCGCCAGCGCGCCAAGCATCAGCAGATCGACGCCAGCGAGAGGATAAAAGAGGGGAAACGAAAGAGAGACACAAGGACGAAGGGAATTGGAGAAAAGATATAAGAATAGCGGATGGAGATAGGAGGAAAGCAAAAAGCATACGTAAGTCTGAATAAGCAACAAAACAGAGGTAGAAAAAGCAAGGTAGCAAAAACGAAGGCATGCTCACAAATACAAGGTAGTTTAAGATCAATCTCTAATCCAAATCTCGACATACTTGAGTAGGCGTTACTTCCACTAATCCTAACAAACTAACAAACTAACAAACAATCTACTCGTCATGCTCCTAGTGCTGCTGCTGCTGCTACTCTCTTACCTATATACTAGAATAGCGTGAGTGGTTGGAGGAACGAGAGCGGAAGAAAGGAAAAGAAGCATTGAAGAAAACCTAACCACCTCCTTCGTCGCAAAGGAAATTGACAATATTTTTACGACACGA